AGTTTCAGAGAATTTTTTGTTTGAATCAGAGTTATTCTTTACAAAGTAGGATTTATCCCTCCCCAAGACAAGATACTTGTATCTACGTTCGCCATACTTTTTAATGAAACTTAGTAATACCAACTCTTTCAATTTGTCTTTTAGTTTGGAATTAGGAATACTTGTGTTAAGTGTAGAAAAGTCAAATGTTTTAATACTATTGCAAGATGAGAGAGTCTTAGATTGTATGTACTCTAAAAGATCTTTGGAATTTTTTAGTATCCACATCTGATTCAAGCCACCTCTAGAATAGGCAGTTTCACAATAACTTTGGAGCCCGGCTTTGATTGCTGATGAAAAAGATGTTAATAATTAAGAAAGAGGTTTCGTGGAGCACTTGGAAGACCCAGCAATATACCGTTGGTTGTAAGGACACTTATGTAGTTTAGGTATCCAATAAAGTGATGGAAGATCCAGTTCTTTAACGTTGGTTGAAATTCCAAAGGAACATAGAACAGACCTATGATTATCCAGGATTTCCTCTTTGGTAAGTGTCGTGAGGGTATATGTTGAGTTTCCAAAAGAATTGTCAATACCTAATTCATTTATCAAGCAGTTTATGTAATGATATTTACACACGAAAACGATGTTGTTTGGGGCTTTATCTGCGGGGACAACAACATTTTTGTCATGGCGGTAGGACAAGTGTTTTGCAACATTTTGGTCTTTAAAATTGACGTAGCGTGGGTATTTATAGACCCGTTTAGTTTCTTAATTCGGATTTGTATCAACGACCTCACAGCCTTAATCCATACGGAAAGGGTATCTACGTCTTCTTTCTCGCGTTTAGCCCATTGCATGGCATAATCCTCGACTGAATCCATCAGTATTTTAAAGTTGTATTTCCAATTGATGGATTTATGCTCACGATATTTCGTACCTTTGGATAACAAATTTCGCAGGGAAGTGTTATTGACAATGTTGAGGTCTCCGGTAATAACGTGGCCAGCCGGATTATATGTGAATTGGGAACTAGCACAGATGCAATCAGGAGGTTTAGACTTGATGTCGTCAATGTTGAGATCCTGCAAAACGTGTTTGTAATTGAAAATTTTAGTTAATAAATTGGTTTGGTATAGGTATAAGAAATTATTGGTACAGACTGATCTTTAAAATAAGGAGGTATTTTCGACTGAACTAATTTATGATGAAGGATATTGCCTAAGTTGACGCCATCGAGACCTTTGTTGGCAAAGGAAAGTTTAAGAAAAGATCTTTTCTCTTTTTCATCTTTTCCAATGCAAACTGGTTTGAAAAGTCTGTGACTAGCAATATCCGAAATGATAGCTGTAAGTTAATATTGGTTTGAATGAGGGTTTGTAACAGTGGTTTCCAAACATAAATTGAACAGAGAATGAAGTTTTGAAAGGGGTAATGAATAAAGTTTCGTGCGAATGTGATGAATACCTAACGGCTTTTGTATAAATGGCAGCAAGTCATTAATAGGGACATCATGCAAAGTAGGTGATGTATAATGACGATGACTATGACTGCGTCTACGTCGAGGAGTAGAGTTGGAAATGTTCATCACATTCACCGAGCTACAGGAAGGACTAGATAAAATACCTATACCATCAATTTTGTCATTGCAACCATATGGTGTCGCAGTTCCCAACTGTCGAATCCAGTAGTCCTCTTTTTGTCTACGGAAAGGCGTTGCAAGTTGAGGATTGTTAGTCTTGTGGTATATTTTTTCGATAATACGAACTGTCATAGACACGATGGCTTGTGAATATGTATAAATAAATATAACACAATTACAGAGTTTGTAAATTCAGGTTTAACCCGACCCATTGAACCCATAAGTCACCTATTTGACTCAAAAATTAACTTTATACAATATATATACTTTGTACATATATCAGTAACGATTCGCAAGGGAATTTGACGAGTATGGACGTGCTATGTTAACGGGTTATTAAGCCCGAGTAAAGTTAATACTGTACACCTAGAAATATCTTAAAAATGAATTTTAAGTTTTCGAAAATTAATACTTTCTGTATATAATCTGATTTGTTGCTTAGAAAACCATACGGCATCACTTTAGATTCATATTCCAACATATATGTTGCTGGATCTGAATCAAACAATGTCGTAGTAATATCCAGCGATGGGAAACAAGCCAAACAGCTCATTGGCGCTTGTGACGGAATTTTGAATCCTTGTGCCGTATTTTTGTATAAAACCAAAAACGTACTCCTTATAGCTAACTATGACGGAGTTGCCTTTCTGTTTGAAGTTTAATACAGTAAACGTGTGAACTTTCTGTTGATGTTTGAAATCTACCAAATGTCTAATGTTTAATTTTATCGATGAAAAAAAAAATAAGGTAACACGTTAAACTAATGTGACTGTATAAAGACATATCTGTTGTTAATTGGAAAAGTGCACTTTTCTTTCATTAATTTCATAATCAGTAATTAAAATGAAATTGTGTAAGAAGATATTTTCTCTATTTAAAGCAAAACGATATCATATGCGGAAAATGTTTTCCAATAAAGTGATATGTTTGGTTTGTATTGAGTAAGCCTACACAAGAATCATATACTAAATATTTTAATACATTAATAATATTTAGTATATGCATCATTCAGATGCATCAGCATTCATGACTCTTGATTGCATTCAATAGATTTCAATTAACCTTAAGTTTATGAGAGTATTTTGTTAAATTTACACATATATCAATTTCAGAAAAAAACGCCTTAAATTTATTTGTTTGATAGTCAACTGATGATTGGAAATAACGGTTACATGGTTAATTGTGTATCCGTCACCAAGTTTGTAACGCAAGTATTCCTCATGTATTGCTTTTTTGATTCATCAATGCAGCAATATACCTGGAAGTTGTACATACCAACCAATCATTCTTTAACTCAAATGGATGGTTTGTTATCTTTTTGTCTTGCCTTCAACGTCGCATAATGCAAGATACAGGGCTGATAACCAAGCGGTGACAGCGTTAGCCCTTTGTTCAAGTGTTGTTTAAAACTTCATATTTTAGAATGTAGAATGTCTTGATTATACATATCTGTCGGTCAGACATTTCAGTACGACATAAAGCCGTTGTTCCTAATCTCATTCGAATTGTTCAATGACCACTTAAAATGTCTTTTAATAACGTGCTTTTTCAGTTTTAGTGATAAGTAAAATATGGATTGTACACGTTCTTATATCCATTGCTCGGTTTACATATCAAAGTAAAGAGATGTCGTATGGTCTAATTTATAACAAAATAATTTACGGAATACAAACATGACAGACATAAACTGAACTACAGGTTCCTGACTTGGGACAGGCAAATATCGAATGTGGCGGGGTTAAACGTTTCTGTGATCACTTAACCCTCGTCTAACCTGGGACAGTGGAGTAACAGCACAAGATAATAGCAAACTGTAAAAATCAGTTGCAATTGGCATAACACAAAAGATTGGTACGAGGCACAAAAACAACTAACATAAAAAACAATAGACACAAAAATACCATAAATATAAGAATATTCGCAGTTACTGAAAGCTAGTTCAAAGTAAATTACAACTAATAAATGTCATGTTCTCCAAGACGTAAGTAATAATTAGTGGAAATCCAATGGATTTAGAAGAACAATGTCATAAACAGTCGTGTGCAATGTCCAACTATAAGTAAACAGTATCGATGTATGACAATCCGTTCATAGAACTGTACATACATTGTATGTAGTAATGTAAATTTAGTTCGCTTTTCCTTCTTATATACTGTTAATAAGGTTGATATCTGAGCTACAATGCGTGGATTTTTCTGTTCTTTTTTTATGCTGCATTTGATTGTTGACGATTTTTTGGTGTGGAGAGAAAGGTATCGATTTTTAAAAAATAAATAAATTAACGAAAAACGATACCTAATGGGGTACTCGACAGGTTAATATCATTGGTTTCATTAATCAGCAAACAGATGAACTGTCTCGAATCATAAATAATTATAGTGATAAAAAATCATCAAAGATACGAGGCCAAATAAGGTATGAAGTTGAAGGGTTTTGATTGTTATTACTCTCATCTTTTTAATGGACAAGAAAATCATTTTTATGTAAAAATAAGGAGATGTGGTATGAATGACAAGGAGACAACTATCTACCAAAGTTCAAATAAAGTGAATGTAAGCAATTATAGGCAACCGTACGGCCTTAAACAATGAGAAAACCCATATCGTATAGACGGCTATAAAAGGCCTAGACATGAAAAATGTGAAACAATTCAATTGAGAAATCTAACGGCCTAATATATTAATTCATAACAAAACAATTTACGAAAAACAAATATGACAGACATGAACCAACGACAACCACTAAACTACATGCTCTTGCATAACGTGTGTGGCGGGGTTAAACATGTTTGTGAGTGATTAACCCTCCCCTACCCTGGGACAGCGGTGTAACAGCACAAAATAAGAACAAACTATAAAAATCAGTTGAAAAAGGCTTAACTCATCAGATCGACACAAAGCAGAAAAACATCAAACAAAAACAAAGACCAGACGTGTACATTAAGAAAAGAAATTAAGAAAAAAAAAGTAAATAGACTAACTTGATAATTTGTAAATATATCAGTTAAAATTCATCAGAAAGAACTACCAAATATGGCCGTGTTTACACACACAAATGTAAGCCTTGTACCATCAAACATGTGCACCTGTATAAAGGCATGACAGGATAAGTTTGATTTAAATGAATTGTTTGTTTTACAATTTTTTAAACTTTCATATATTTTGAGATTCCTTTTCATTTGTTCCCACAGAAGATGCCAAAAATAAACTATATTAAAAAGAATGTCTGAGAAGTCACTTTCAAATAATTAGTGGAATTAATTGTATTAATTGACACGAAAAAGAGAAACACCAAATATCTTAAACATTTTTTTCAATCTATATGTCCTACATGTACTTTGTATTGATCGTTTATACACATATGTACTTGTACAACTACAGGTAAAATCAATAATCACAGATAATTTAGTTTTAATATATGAAGATACACAACAGTTTCAAGTCCGACGATGTTACAATCAGGTAAGAAAAGTGAAATTAATGATTGTTCTAAACTTAAAAATGGGCAATATCTATTTTTGATTTGCATTTGTGCAACCAGTTAGACTATCGAAACCTACCAGCAAGGAAAAGAAAACTACACACAAAACTGTACATATACACGAAACAGTACACAAAATTTGACAACTTTTCAAAAAAAAAATATATATCATTCTTGATTCATCAAGCAAATTTGACATCAGTAAAGAATTATGTTTTCAAATTGAAAAATAGAACGATTACTTGGGTGGTACACAAGACATAATATGAGTATGCCGTCCATGAAATTGTTCGGGTAACATTAGCGTACATAAAATATATACGCGTATGTTTGTACTATATATATACGCATATTCTGTAGATAGAAATATATACATTTGAAACATCGCCACCATTCAAGACGTAGATGTCTGTTGTTTAAAAAAGAATGGGAAAGGGGGGGGATTTAAAGATATTTATGTGCCTGTTATAATACGGTCACGAAAAACAGAAAATATATTAACAATTTTCAAGTATTGTCATACATGTTAATTTCATTTTCTCAAAATGTATTACAAGTAGTTTAATTCAGGACTTAAGAATGTTAAATTTGGATTTCAAATTTTAAGAAAATATGCATTTTACCTTAAAAAAAAGTTTTTCAATGTATAACATATTTTTTGTTTAAATTCGTCTTAAAGCATAGCGATACAAAATCGTTAACAAATTAACAGCTTGCAATTAAATCGTTTTGAAAATTTCATACATTATAAAAGTCATACTTGGAAAATATTGAATACAATGTTATGCTACTAGAATACCAAATATTTGCGTTATGGTTAATGTTCGAGATGAAGTGCACAATTTATCTTTGATTGGTGAGGGTACAGAGAAAAAAATATTATAATAGAGGCCTTTAGCTGGAAATTTTTTAAGGGAAAATGAAGTCTATAAATTATTGTAAATTTTGCATTAATAAAGTTTATATATTAAATCCATTTTAAAATTTCACGTGTAATGAAGAGATTGTCACGTTTAAATCATGTGAAGCGAGATTCAATGGAGAAAAGCGTAACTTTCATTTAAAGCTTAAACAGCATATACCCCCAAAGTCACGTCCATCATATTGACTAATACTCTAAAACTAGATTTATAACATAAAGTATATCAAAATTTTAAAAATTTCCATTGGAAACTATAAAAAAATGCATTGTCGGAATTCCAATGGGGACTAACTGTGCACCACTTATTGCGGACCTGTTTTTGTATTGTTATGAGTTACAATTTATGACTAAAATTAGCAAAGATCCATCGGAACAACATCTGATACAAAAATTTAACAATACTTTTTGATATTTGGATGATATATTGGCTCTCAATAATGACGACTTCAGTATGTATACTAAAGAAATTTATCCTGTTGAACTTACTTTAAATAAAGCTAATACTAACAATGACCACTGTCCTTTTCTCGATCTTGATATCTATATCATTAACGGGAAGCTTAATACAAGAATTTATGATAAAAGAGATGATTTTTCATTTCCTATCGTTAATTATCCATTTTTAGATGGTGACGTTCCCTTGTCACCATCTTATGGTGTTTATATATCTCAACTTGTACGATTCGCTCGTGTATGTAACAACGTATTAGATTTTAGCGAAAGAAATTTATGTATTACTGAAAAATAATTACACCAGGTTTTTCGATATCATAAACTAGTCAAAACATTTACTAAATTTTATCATCGGTATAAGGACATCATTCGTAAATATAACTCAACATGCAGACATCTTATACGTTCGGGTATTTCACATCCAATCTTTTATGGTAATATTCTTTACAAAGCACAACAATGTCAGTATTCACCTCAAAAGCTAACAAAACCTTTAAACAGACTTATTAAGAAGGGATATAGTTACGATACTGTTGTCAGGTCATTAAAGATTGCATATTTTGGCTTTAATATTGATTCACTTATAGGGTCTTTGCATCGGAATTTAACATATTTATTCTAAAACCAGTTGTTGGCATGACACGGGTTATGTTTTTCTCATATATTTTATGACTGTATAATACTAAACCCCTAACAGGAGGGATTGTGCCTGATATTCATATGATGAAGACATAATCTTTCAATCAGTTTAATTGAGGTCTGGAGCTGGCATGTCAGTAACTGCTAGTAGTCTGTTGTTATTCATGTATTATTGTCATTTTGTTTATTTTCTTTTGTTTCCTATTCTAACATCGGACTCGGACTTCTCTTGAACTGAGTTTTACTGTGCGTACTGTTGTACGTTTGTTTTTTTTTTACATTGGCTAGAGGTATAGGGGGAGGGTTGAGATCTCAAAAAACATGTTTAACCCCGCCGCATTTTTGCGCCTGTCCCAAGTCAGGAGCCTCTGGCCTTTGTTAGTCTTGTATCATTTTTAATTTTAGTTTCTTGTGTATAATTTGGAGTTTAGTATGACGTCCATTTTCACTGAACTAGTATACATATTTGTTATGGGGCCAGCTGAAGGACGCCTCCGGGTGCGGGAGTTTCTCGCTGCATTGAAGACCCATTGGTGGCCTTCGGCTGTTGTCTGATCTATGGTCGGGTTGTTGTCTCTTTGACACATTCCCCATTTCCATTCTCAATTTTATTTAATGTTCATGATGTATCATCATTCGATCCGAATTTTGGGACTGGATGCTGTTTAATAAACCATTGTAATGTCCTTCGAATATTGGAGATTAGCATATTACCCCCAATATTCATTGCTATCTAAGTATGCATTTACAAAATTAGAATATGATTCTTAGATACTTACGTGCACCAATGGCGATTTTTCTTGTTCTGTTTGATTCATATCATTGGTAACGCAATTCATCGTTAGAAAATTACTTGTTTAAGAACGATTTTATAGAGAGACAATTCAGGCATTGAAATGGGTCTTCTCGATTTACTAGATAGTTTTATTTCTTCACAAATCGTTCAAAACACTGGGCAAATGCGTAATCGATATTCGACTGAGGCCATATCATAGGTTACATCCTTACGGATTCAAATGAGGTCAAATCAATGTATTTAACAACATTGATCCAACCTGTATGATAATAGCAAGTAATCTTTTCATCTTATACTATCAAAATCATAGCTAATGCCACTTTTACGAGTAATTATCATTAATTGAATCTCGGGAAAGTCAGGTCAACAACATTGAGCCTTACATGTATGACTCATTTAGTTTAAACTTTTGATAAAATGTTTTCTATATTCTATATTCCATTCTAAGGGTAAATGTACTGTAAGAGTAAATAAAACAACAGCTAATCAAGGATTCATGTAGTGATGAAGTTATGTTAAAACCCTTATGCGTTTTGTGAAATATTCAAAGATTTTGTTCAGTTTAGGAAATTGTTACGGACCTGCATTAAAAGTTCGCATCAAAGTACAAATTGAAGGATTTCACACGGGGTTTTTCCGTTAGAAACCGTTAGAACAAACCCTCTTACTTGACAATATTTTTGCTCGATATTCAGATTCACAGACATGCGTCCAAGTTAAGGCAACAGTAGTTTACCGATGTTCAAATTTCGTCAATACATTATGAACATGATGAAGATATAAATTATAGCAAAAAAAAAAACAAAAACAAAAACCGAGGGAATCACATGAATTGAAAAAGGAGCGAGACCGGATCGTCGACAGGAGAAGCGTTTCCTGCTATGCATACATCACCCGCGATGCGAATTCAAACTAAGCCACTTTGATACATTTGAAAATTAAATGTAATAATCTGTATTGTCATATAAACAATTAAAACATCTTTGTGACAAAAACATACACACATATATACATATATCAATGCAATAACAATTGCTTCTGTCCTCAGTTCTAATGACTGTTTAAAAAAATAGCCGATTAGTTTCAAATGTTATGTTGATATAGGGTTTAACAATTTAATATTTTTTTGGTTTTCTGGAAGTGACATAAATTCGTCTTCCCATTTTACTTTTGTAATTACATCCAATCCTAATCTATTATTTATACTACACTCCAAGAGGAAATTTTTCCCGTTTTCAAGAGCATTGCATAGTTTGCAAAGTCTATTTCCTCGAGGATTTTTAAATATCTACCCTTTTCAATTTCAAGATTGCGGTCACTTATACTGAGTGTGTTGAAACACTTTCTTATAATAAAATAGTTGTACCATAAGTAAAATTCTTTATCTTGACCAAGTTTATGTTTTTGTATAAAAATAACTTACTTTTTTCAACATAACTATTAAATTTATTTTTAACTAAAATTTTATCTCTGTTTTCTATTTCTTTCTTGATAAGAATATTGAGAGGTTTAACTTCTTTCAGATTTTTACAATGTTCTATTTTAAATAAGATATCGCTACCAGGTACAATATTCATGACATATGTATACCAAGAATATGTATCGGTGTTGTCAATAGATTTTGACAACCCAAAAGCCTCTTTTAGGAGGGGGTTTATGTTTTCGGTGTAAAGTCTTGCTAAATAAATTAAGACTGAATTGAAATGAAATGTTCTACTGGCAATCTTCCAAGTTCAGATTGTGCCCCAACATTTGAAGCAGACTTTTTTATTCCCAATATAAATTTACGAAACTTCAAAAAAAACTTTTTCAAATGGAGTTTTGTCTATAAAAAGATTGGATCTAAATTTTTCCCACTTTTTCCCGAATTTTAGCCCTATGATAGATCAAATAACTATCCATAAATGAAATTTCTGAGCTGTCAGTCAAGATTGGGCGTACGAATTTGTAAAAAAGATTATTTGGGACCTGTATAGGAAGATAGTCCAATGAAGTAGATTTAACTTTTTATAGAAAACAAAACTTTATTTACCCTTCTACCAAGATCCTATACAATATGATGCATGTTACCATTAATGCTATCGTTCAAATATTTAATTAAAACGTTACAGTGTAAAACTTTGGATGTACTTATTAGTAAGTTTGACGCTAAGATCCATGATTTTTGAAATACCTTAATTTTGAGTTCAAATAGGACTATTATTTTTTTTTATTTCATTTTATAAAAAACGAATTTAATAGAATACCTAAGCCGTATTTGGCACAACTTTTAGGAATTTTGGGTCCTCAATGCTCTTCAATTTTGTACTTGTTTGGCTTTATAACTATTTTGATCTGAGCGTCACTGATGAGTCTTATGCAGACGAAACGCTCGTCTGGCGTATTAAATTATAATTCTGGTACTTTTGATAACTATTTACAGCACTGGGTCGATGCCACTGCTGGTGGACGATTCGTCCCCGAGGTTATCACCAGCCCAGTAGTCAACACTTCGGTGTTGACATGAATATCAATTATATGGTCATTTTTATAAATTTCCTGTTACAGACTTTGAATGTTTCGAAAAACTAAGGATTTTCTTATCCCAGGAATAGATTACCTTAGCCGTATTTGGCACAACTTTTTGGAATTTTCGGTCCTCAATGCTCTTCAACTTTGTACTTGTTTGGCTTTATAACTATTTTGATCTGAGCGTCAATGATGAGTCTTATGTAGACGAAACGCGCGTCTGGCGTATTAAATTATAATTCTGGTACCTTTGATAACTAATTAATGAATGTTGGGACAAGAAGAAAGCGTTTACCATAACAATGTTTTTTTCAAGAACAGCTTTTCAATATTCTTAGCATCTACAAGAAACAGATATTTTTGCTCTTTAATTAGTATAATTTTCTACATTCAATTTTTTCTAGATTCAAAGTGTAGAGCGTAGATTTTTTCGATATTGTACGTCACAATATTGGACCTCAACTAAGACAAACTATTATAGGAATGGCCACTTATGAGAGTGCATTGTTTTGCGACGTTTGCCAAAACAGAAACCTCAATAAGTCAGCGGAAGCATATTGTTCGCAGTGTGAAGAGGCTCTATGTATAGAATGTAGAGACCATCATAAGATATCGAGATCATCAAAATCACATCAGACCATCTCAGTAGAAAAACATCAAAAATTACCTTCTTTCATCAAGCAAATAAAGCATTATTGTGCGAAGCACGACTGCTTCCTTGAATTTTATTGTAAATCCCATGACTCTCTTTGCTGTAAACTTTGTTTGATATCAGGTCACAAGGAATGCAAGGAAACTATGTTCATTGAAGATTTTCTTATGCCTTCTTCTGGACATCAATCAGCAGCTTTAGATAACATTGAAAAAGTTCTAAAAGATCTGGATGATAACATTTGTTCCGCTATAAAGGACAGAACTCGAAATACGACCGAATTACGTGATCAGAAGCAGATGATTGCAGAACAGATCAAGGAAAAACGTCAAGAAATCAATACAATGTTAGACCATTTAGAAGGAGCATTACAAAAAAAGGCATCTGCAATGGAGAAAGAATACAGTCGGAAAATAAATGAAGTCATTGCTAAATTAGAGGCCGAAAAAAAGAAGGTAAACAAAATTCAAAAAGATTTTGATTCTGTAAAAATGTTTGCATCCAATCTTCAAATCATCATAGGAGTAAAGGCATTCCAGGAGAGTGTTTCAGTCAATGAAACAAATGTCCAAAGTTTATATAACGATGGTAGCTTAAACAATGTGGCAATTGAATGTACTTTCAATGAAAATGTTGAGCGGTTTATAAAAGAGATAAAGACCTTTGGTGATATAAAGGTGAACAAATGTGAAAAGCATTCTTCGTTTTCCTGGAAATGTGACACATCAGCTCAAATTTTTAAAACTGTTCCTAAAGCGATTTTGATTGATAACATTAGCGCCAGATTAGTACGTAAGATAAGTACACAGCACTTTAATCTTAGTGGATGTGCCATTTCAGAAAATGAAGACTTTTTTTTTCTTCAATTACACAAGAATAATCTGCTGAAATATGGACCTAATGGTGAATTCCATTCCAAATCACGTATCAACTCAGGCCAGTACAATGTTGGATATGACCTGGCGATGGTTGATTCTAATTCAGTAGCTGTATCATGTGGTGGAAATAACCCAAAACAACTTTACATAATTGATACGAATAGTACAGAAACGCGTCACGTGTTTGACCTTTGCGATTGGTGTTACGGCTTAAACTATCATAATGGATCATTTATTTGTTGTACATCTGCCAATGGCATTAAACTATATGACACTTTGTTCCACAAATTGACTAACATGCGGATATTGCCCAATGCACCCAATATGGTAGATGGAACCTACGTTACCTCAAATGAAAACAGCATTTTTCATTCCAACTGTCGGAATAATTCTGTCGTATGTTACAATTTCAGTGGCCAAGTACAATGGACATATTCTGATTCACTACTCACAAAACCGTACGGCATCACCTTAGATTCTTATTCTAACATATATGTTGCTGGGTCAGAATCAAATAATGTCGTTGTGATATCCAAAGATGGAAAGCAGGCCAAACAGCTCATTGGATCTAGTGACGGAATCTTAAATCCTCGTGCCGTATTTTTTCATAAAACCAAAAACGTACTTCTTGTAGCTAACTATGATGGAGTTGCCTTTCTATTTGACGTTTAATACAGTAAACGTGTAAACGGTATGCTGCTTAAAACTACCATATGTCCAACGTATAATATTGAATGGAAAAAAAAGAGTTCACTAACAATAAACCAAAAGGCCGTATATAGACAACTATATTGTTTATTGGAATAATGTCTTTTTCTATCGTTTATGCCGAATAAAAGTTGGAATCTTATTGGAAATATTTGTTCCATGATAAAAAATTAACAATGCAAAAATGTTCATCAGTTATTTGATGAAGATCTAGAAGTATGTTTTCCCTGTTCGAAGAAAAAAGATTAACGTGTGCAGAAAATGTCATCCAATAAAGATTTATGTATGATATGTTTTTTTTTTAATAATTTCAGTTACGACGTTTCTTAGACACTATAAAAAGTTAAGAGTAATATTGATTGAAAAGTGTGCGTGCCCGTCTGACAGCTTTGCATGGCCTTGTTCTCATTTGATGGTTCATCAAACAACGTCAATTGTTCGTGATTGATATTAATAAAAGAGGACACGTCAATGAATATCCAACCGAACAACAAAAATTAAAAAAGAAACATATAAAGGGTAACATAGCATCTGCAACCAAAGACAAGAGTCTGTTCAATCTCTGTGGTTACAAACAGCCCAAGATAGGTTTAAGTAAAAATCATATTCTTAAACTGTAAAGGAATTAGAAGAACATTCTCAGGTTGTATTGTATTTATAAGTGCGTAAATCGGGATAAGACAACTCTCGGTTGATTGATATAGAGGTTAACGTACAGTTACATTGTATCAACCGTTAAATAAATGTTTGAGTTTGACAAATCTGTTACTTACCATGTATAATGTTGATATCTATATTTACAATATGTCTTATCTCATGAATAATCTAGTTGGCTTGAAAGTCATAATACAAACTAAAAACAAAACTAATATCTAGTCGAAAATAATACATGCATTTTCTGAACGAAATCAAATTGAAATAAATATAAACACATGAAACATGATATGAGTAATCGAGTTTAGATTTACAATTGTGTATTGACATTTAAATTTCACATCAGGATCCAGTTCGTTCCTGACGTTTAGCAACATAGGGTAGGAATCTTATATAGTATAAAACTCTCCTGCAAAGTTGAATGGTATCAATTTGATTGATTTAAAATGTATAACAAAAATACCGCACTCCCAGATAATTTCAAAAAAGTCCATAACAACTAACAGAATCAAACGTTAGACTCTATCAACCAAAAGAACGAACAGAAAACAACTTTCATATTCCTGACCATCATATTTGATTGATGTTTGCCCAACGTCTATTGACAACATTTAAGAAATTATCATGCAATTTAAGATCATCACTTAATGTCTAAGAAATAAATATCAAATCCCATTCTGATTAGTAATGGCATATAAAGAGATGTCATCTGCAAATAATCTAAAATGGCTACTGATATTTTCGGTATAATTGTTTATTAAGATAAAGAAAGGGAAGGGATACAACACTCAGTCTATGTGCACTTCTCCACTGTAAAGGAAGAAACCCCATGAAAACATCTATCTGGCATATGTCACCTTGGTAATCTCCAAATGATGCATTCGATGCAGTTTGCTCTCATCCTATGAGAGTCCGTGCGTTCGACCCCCGTCGGGACATACTTAATAGATATAAGAAGATGTGGTATGAGTGCCAATGAGACAACTCTCCATCCAAGTCAAAATTTAAAAAAGTAAACCATTATAGACTAGAACATTTTGTATTTGCTGTGTTTCCAGTAATCACGTTGCATATAGAAGTTTTCCATCCGGAGTTGGATAAGTATGTCTATGAAATTATACATGATGTTCCGCGGTCTGCTATCTTATGAAACTGCATGTTAAAAATCTGGTTCAGTGTGTCAGTCTCCTACTGAGATGGAATTCATTTTCTGTTGATTTTAACACGTTCTTGTCAGACGCTGTATGTGATAGCTGAACGGTATCCTTGAAGTGACTTTTCCGCCTGACAGAAAATAATTTAGCCTTCACCTCGCGATGACGGTTCAGTTAGTTACCATTACGTTTCATTGATTATATCTACGTCTCAGATACGATTAGTTATACAGGAAGGTGAAATATATTTGATATATTGAACTATTGTTAGGTACACACGCCAGTCTTTGACTTGGCGAAATAAGTGTATTGAATGGAGCCTAGCTTATGTATCTGGCAACAGGTACGGTGTCGAAGTAGCACGTTTAGTTTTCGTCAAATTCAAAATTGTCCAATTTGAGTTAAAAGTAGTTTTGTTTTGACCGTCATTTTTTTTTTACAAAGTATATCAATACAAGTAAACACTTTTAATTTTCCGTCATGGCTAAAAAAGAAAAAGACAAACAGACAAATAAAAGTACTCAAAACATAACAAAGAAAACTAAACACTGAGCAACATGAACCCCACCAAAAACTGGGTGATATCAGGTACTCCGGAAGGGTAAACAGATCCTGCTCCACTAGTGGCAAGATATTATTAAGCAAATTCATTTTTGATAATATATTTGCATTTCAAATAAACAGGCGGAAGATCCAATCCAGGACTTTCGAAACCCATTAGTCGAAGAAAAACTAAAAAGATTTGGAAAATAATACGAAAAGACCCATTCGTTAAAAAATGACAAACTAAACATACAGTTACATGAACCCCACCAAGAGCTGGGATTGATCTCAAGTATTGTCGTACAGGTTAGTATCTCAGCTCAGATGCGCTGATTGTTCTGTTCTTTTCTGCATGCTGCGTTTGATAATTGACAATATTCATGATGTACTAGATATAAAAAAAGTCGATAAAAATCGATACTTTAACAGGTTGGTATCATTGAATTAATCAGTCACTGAACAGATAAATTGTCATGCAAAAAAGAAATTTGTAATGTTAGCACGAATCAGCAATAATTATGTTTTTTAATTGATAGTTATAACTGTACTCTTCTTAGTGGACAATCAAATGATTTCCATCATAAAGTGTTTTAATTTTGTATTTTATCTTCAGTAATCACATTCATCGTCGCACACATAATTTATCAGTTTGAAATCATCAGAAGCAGTTGTTAAATATAGCCGTGTTTACATAAAATGATATAATGATTGTATAAACAAACCTGTGCATCTGTACAAGTATAAAGGCATGACAGGACCTAGATATATACAATTAAACGCATTTTATGTTTCAGAAAATTGGAATCTTTCATATATTTTTAGATTCTTTTCTTTGGTTCCCACAGAAGATGTTAAAATAAACATAATAAAGAAGAATTTCAGAAAGAATGTAGTGAATTTTATTAGTTGACATACAAAAAAGGACAATAGACATCTTAAACATTTCTTATCTATTATTGTGTCCTTCTTTGCATTGATCGTTTATACACTTGTCGCAGGTAAAATAAATAGTCATAGGTACTGTGGATTTAATCTATGAAGTCACACAACAGCTTGATGTCCTACACTATTACAATCAGGTAAGAAAGGGGAAATCAATGCTTTTTAGTTTCAAAATGGGCTATATCTTTATGTTTTCAAATGTTTTATATCCTGTAACATTTTTGAAACCTACCATTAAAAAACATCTACTGATATACCGAAACAGTTCACTCATTTTGAAGGCGTTAAAACCTAACCAACGCGTCGTTACTTTATCAAGTAAATTCCACATTATTTAGTAAAGCATTATTATTTTTCTATTCAATAAAATATAACTGAACCAGTACACAAGTGGGAGTATGGTAATCATGACATTGGTAGGATACAATTTGCGTGTACTATTGCTCTATTTATCTATATGCGTATGTTGTTGGTATATATTAGGTGTAATACCACCATTGATTTTCCCCTATTAGTCTTTGTTAAATTTGCACTTTTCAAAAAATTGTGCAGAATTTATCTTTGTTTCAAATAAAGAAATACTTGGCATGAGTAAATTTTGATCCTGTCCAGTACTATAGAAAAAATTTCACATAACATTTCATTGCATATAAGAAAATAACCATCACTGGAAGTTAACCAATCAAATGTTCCCCCTTTTTTAACCTGTGTACAAGCTTTAGTAACCATGTAACCTCAAGTTTCCAAAATATTCTATAGAAACCCCAAATAAAAAAATAATGGTGCTGTGAAATACCCAAGATATATGTTTATGACCCAGAAATGTTTTACTGCAATGAAATGTAGGATCAATTACCTACAACTGTCAAATTCAAGGAAATATTTTTTTTCGACCTATTTTCGTATGCAACCGGATGTGACGTATTATGATTTGGTGGTATTACACCTAAAGAAGACTTTTTTGTTAAATAAACTGAATGTGACTTTTTTCCTTTGTAAGACTGGTTATTTCAAGCATTCCTGTCAAGTTTTGTCATAATCAGTTCAATAGTTTGAGAAAAATCTAGTATAATGTAAGACGACATCTACAGCGATTCGAGCTAAATTTCTTCGAAAAATCCAAACCAAGCCGTATCATGTTAGAATATAGTGTGGACCAATAAATGATCAAATATTTATCTCATCTGCCTAAAAACAGTTGAATATGATACAAAAGATGACTTTAGGATGATAAATACTACTAATGGACCTCTTTGTTCTCCTTATAAGGTCTCTTTTGGTCCATTTATACCTCTCATTTCCTCAAAATTTCTACTTTATAGGCCAATAAATAAAAATTTTGGGGTAACTTTCACTCATTTATGATAGAAATGTTATAATAAATGATTAATTGAAGTTTTCAAGCTGAATGAACTATCCGTATAAAAGTTTACTGTCTCCAAGGAGGTTTCAATAAGTCCTTACGTAAAACTTAAATTTACGCCGCGTTCCAGAGAGGGACATAAAAAGCTTCTCTTTTGGTGAATAATTTGTTGTTACTGCTTTAAAAATAATTTCATTTACCTAAAACTATATATTTATTAAAGTATTTCTTAGGTAAAATTTTCTAGTATAGCAGAATATAAGAAAAAAGGAGAAAAAGCTCCCCAAAACTCTAAGTATGGCTTATTCTGTCAACTAATATTCATGGTAAAGTCCTATTTCAAGGAAATTTTCTCATAAAATGTGTTTTGGAGACTCAATCCACTCAGAATATTTCATTATTAGTAATATTTCACTTAAATAGCAAGAAATTTTAACACATGAGAGTACTCACAAGGTCAAAGGTGCATGTACAGCTTCCCATATTAGGTGTAATACCACCATTGATTTTCCCCTATTAGTCTTTGTTAAATTTGCACTTTTCAAAAAATTGTGCAGAATTTATCTTTGTTTCAAATAAAGAAATACTTGGCATGAGTAAAGTTTGATCCTGTCCAGTACTATAGAAAAAATTTCACATAACATTTCATTGCATATAAGAAAATAACCATCACTGGAAGTTAACCAATCAAATTTTCCCCCTTTTTTAACCTGTGTACAAGCTTTAGTAACCATGTAACCTCAAGTTTCCAAAATATTCTATAGAAACCCCAAATAAAAAAATAATGGTGCTGTGAAATACCCAAGATATATGTTTATGACCCAGAAATGTTTTACTGCAATGAAATGTAGGATCAATTACATGTACCTACAACTGTCAAATTCAAGGAAATATTTTTTTTCGACCTATTTTCGTATGCAACCGGATGTGACGTATTATGATTTGGTGGTATTACACCTAAAGAAGACTTATTTGTTAAATAAACTGAATGTGACTTTTTTCCTTTGTAAGACTGGTTATTTCAAGCATTCCTGTCAAGTTTTGTCATAATCAGTTCAATAGTTTGAGAAAAATCTAGTATAATGTAAGACGACATCTACAGCGATTCGAGCTAAATTTCTTCGAAAAATCCAAACCAAGCCGTATCATGTTAGAATATAGTGTGGACCAATAAATGATCAAATATTTATCTCATCTGCCTAAAAACAGTTGAATATGATACAAAAGATGACTTTAGGATGATAAATACTACTAATGGACCTCTTTGTCTTCCTTATAAGGTCTCTTTTGGTCCATTTATACCTCTCATTTCCTCAAATTTCTACTTTATAGGCCAATAAATAAAAATTTTGGGGTAACTTTCACTCATTTATGATAGAAATGTTATAATAAATGATTAATTGAAGTTTTCAAGCTGAATGAACTATCCGTATAAAAGTTTACTGTCTCCAAGGAGGTTTCAATAAGTCCTTACGTAAAACTTAAATTTACGCCGCGTTCCAGAGAGGGACATAAAAAGCTTCTCTTTTGGTGAATAATTTGTTGTTACTGCTTTAAAAATAATTTCATTTACCTAAAACTATATATTTATTAAAGTATTTCTTAGGAAAAATTTTCTAGTATAGCAGAATATAAGAAAAAAGGAGAAAAAGCTCCCCAAAACTCTAAGTATGGCTTATTCTATCAACTAATATTCATGGTAAAGTCCTATTTCAAGGAAATTTTCTCATAAAATGTGTTTTGGAGACTCAATCCACTCAGAATATTTCATTATTAGTAATATTTCACTTAAATAGCAAGAAATTTTAACACATGAGAGTACTCACAAGGTCAAAGGTGCATGTACAGCTTCCCATATTAGGTGTAATACCACCATTGATTTTCCCCTATTAGTCTTTGTTAAATTTGCACTTTTCAAAAAATTGTGCAGAATTTATCTTTGTTTCAAATAAAGAAATACTTGGCATGAGTAAAGTTTGATCCTGTCCAGTACTATAGAAAAAATTTCACATTACATTTCATTGCATATAAGAAAATAACCATCACTGGAAGTTAACCAATCAAATTTTCCCCCTTTTTTAACCTGTGTACAAGCTTTAGTAACCATGTAACCTCAAGTTTCCAAAATATTCTATAGAAACCCCAAATAAAAAAATAATGGTGCTGTGAAATACCCAAGATATATGTTTATGACCCAGAAATGTTTTACTGCAATGAAATGTAGGATCAATTACCTACAACTGTCAAATTCAAGGAAATATTTTTTTTCGACCTATTTTCGTATGCAACCGGATGTGACGTACTATGATTTGGTGGTATTACACCTAAAAGCGTATATAAAAGATAATATAATATAATTGATCAGGTGTCTAATAGTGATAAATTCAAAAGATCCTCGTTAAAGATTTGGTCTTTAATAAAGGACTGCATTAAACATGATACATGATATACACAATATATTTTAGGCGCTACTGGCCCTTCTCTTGCACCTAAGTTGATGTGATTCTGATGCAAGTGGAAAACCAGAAAAATTGGGTCAGCATAAAAACTATTTCTAACGAAATATCGTATAGATAGGAACAAGAAAACGTCAAATACTAAATTAATTAACATGCAGTTGAAATATTAATTTTATTTTCATTACTTTCCTCTTTGTTAAGTACCTGCTTCAAAACGTTGACGAAGCTGCTGAATTTATATTTTTGTTTACAGGACAACATGCATTTTACGATAAGAAATTTGGGTTTTCAATGAATGTAAATGAAAAAAATAGGGACTAAGAGTGTCCACGAAAAAAAACACAACGGTACAAAATCTGGAAGTGAATAAATATATATTGTATGTGGTTAATTCTCATACAACCGTATATTAACCCCTTTGTGTACAACAAAAACTCACACACTGATAAATTTATAATAAAACAATGACACAGGTGTCGAATTTATATTATAAAAAGTAAAAGCAGGTAATCGAGTATCTATGAAATGATGACGTCATGTAAAAACCTCTATGTGTTGAATTGAAATATATATTGCCTGTGGATGTTAGGCAACCAACAATCAACAATCAATCAATTGAAATATATATAGATTTTGTTCAATTTTGAACATTGTTTTTGAACTGTGATGAAAGCTCCCATGGGAGTTTAAATTAAATAATTTCACGTGGTCTTTGTCTCTGGAAGCAAACCTTGTCACTTTTCATTTTTCACTCGATATTACCCTATGCATAGGTTCAAATACAGACAACAGAAAATTACCTATGCTAAAATCTCATAAAGCCATTTAGAAGAAAGGTTGAAACAAAAACTGAGAAAAATGACATGAACTCAAAATGAAGCGATCCCGAGTGCGGCGACCAGGTGAATGTATTCTGCGTTTGCATGCATATCCTACAATGGGATTCCGAAATTTGTTCGTTTTTCGAAAATTGATGCAATCATTTTTAAATTTTAAAAACGTTATCATTTAAAACTTGTACTTATCAATCAGTTATACCCTTAGATTAAATGATTTTGAAAGAATTTTATTTTGAGTTTAAGAAGTACCCAAATATGTTTCTTATTATAAGAAAAAAAGGATGGTTGGACATATAGTAGGCTCATACAATAACATTTTTTTTTATTACAGAACAGCCTTTTCAATTTCATTTCAGCAACACAAAACAGATATTATTGCTCTTTAATAAGCATAATTTTCTTCGTTCATATTTTGTCCTAGATTGAAAAAGTTGATTACAGAAGAAGAAATATCGAAATGGTAAGGCATTCTCTTTTAACAGAAAAAAAAAGGATCACGCTATTAAAGATATGGCCACCAACGAAAGTGCATCATTCTGCGACTTTTGCCAAAGCAGGGACCTTAATACGTCAGCGGAGGAATATTGTCCACAGTGTGAAGAGGCACTCTGTCGAGAATGTACAGACAATCATAAGATATCGAAATTGTCAAAATCGCACCAGACAATCTCGGTCGACAATTATAGAAAGCTACCATCATTTATCAAGGAAATAAAGCAAAACTGTGATGAGCACGACTGCTTCCTTGAATTTTATTGCAAATATCATGACGCCCTTTGTTGTAAACTTTGTTTGATATCAGGTCATAAGGAATGCAAGGAAACTATTTTCGTTGCAAATTTTCTAACACCATCTTCAGGATACCAATCAGCAGCTTTTGATAACATTCAAAGAGTTCTAAAAGATCTGGATAGTAACATTTGTTCCGCTATAAAGGACAGAACTCGAAATTTGACCGAATTACGTAATCAAAAGAAGATGATTTCAGAAAAAATTAAAGAAAAACGTCAGCAAATAAATACACTATTAGACAATTTAGAGGGAGCATTACAAGAAGAAACATCTGCAATGGAGAAAGAATACTGTCGGAAAATAGAAGAAGTAATTGAAAAATTGGAGAACGAAAAAAAGAGAATAGACGAAACTGTAAAAGATGTTGATTTTGTAAAAATGTTTGCATCTAGTCTTCAAATCTTCATGGGAAAAAAAGCATTTCAGGAAAGTGTTTCAACCAATGAAATGAACTTCAAAATATTATATGATAATGGGAGCTTGACCAATTTGACAATGCAGTGTACGTTCAATGAAAAGCTAGAGAGGTTTATACAAGAACTAAAGACCTTTGGTGATATAAAGGTGAACAATTGTGAAAATCATATTTCATTTTCATGGAAGGGAGATAAATCAGCACAAATTTTCAAACCTTTGTCGGTATTGAAATCGATTGAAAACATCAATGTTAGACTAATACGCAAGATTAACATAAATCGCAATGATCTAACTGGATGTGCAATGTCAGAATCTGGAAACATGTTTTTTCTACAAAAACACAATAATAAGCTTTTTAAATATGGGCAAAAAGGAGAACGCCTGTCCGAATCTTATATCAATTCTAAAACTGGCGGCATTGGATATGACCTTGCAGTGATTGATTCTGACACAGTAGCTATATCAAGTGGTGAAAATTTTCTAAAACAGATTTACTTAATTGATATGAATAGTGCAAAATCCGGTCCAGTGTTTAAGCTAGGCGACTACTGCTACGGTTTAAGCCATCACAATGGTTCATTTATTTGTTGCACATATAACAATGGAATTAACATATGTCACAAGTCATATCACCGTTTAACCGCCATGCAGAAGCTGCCAAATGCACCTTCCGTAGTAGGTAGTACCTACGTTACCTCAAATGACAATTTCATTTTTCATTCCAACTGCCATGATCATTGTGTCGTATGTTACGATTTCAGTGGGCAGGTACAGTGGAAATATTCCAATTTGTTGCTCAGAAAACCGTACGGCATCACATTAGATTCTAATTCGAACATTTATGTTGCTGGTTCTGATTCAAACAATATAGTCGTGATATCTCCAGATGGTAAACAGGCGAAAGAGCTAATTGGATCTTGTGATGGAATTTCAAGTCCTCGTGCCATTTTCTTTCATAAAACCAAACACCTGCTTCTAGTAGCAAACTATAACAGTGTTGCCTTCCTGTATGACGTTATATAAAGCATATAGTTTTACATGGAGTAAACCATTTACTACTGGAATCACAATTTTGTTATCAAATTCAGAATAAAATAAATGTCTTAGATTAAATTTTCTATTGAGCTTATAGAATAAATCACTTTTTTCAGGCTTCATTGATGTGTACAAAGGACCAGCTAACTCACAACTGCATTTATATGTTTATATGACGACTATCAGGCCAGATTACACATTTATCATTCCGGAATATATAATTAATCTTTTTGAATCTATAACTGTTTAGTCGATGTTCAAGCTCAAATATTAGTCACCTGATTTGAAAGTGTATATCTCCAGTATTGCCAAGTCACTATATTGGTAACAAAAGTAGTAAAACGGACACGGTCATTATAACGTATGTAATATAAAAAACATACACGATTGATAAGTACCCCTATCTAAGTGGAAAGATGTTTGTCTTTTGGTCTTTTTTTTTTTGCCATGGATGTGTCAGCATATTTCTAATTACTGAGTTTGAGTGTTCTTTGGTTTCTTTCGTCTCTATTAAGTCACCTTCTTATATTTTATAGACCTAGTTTTGTTAACGTGTAATTTGTTCAAGATTTTTTTTATACATATTACATATTCTACTCGTCAATGGAAAAATGCACCTGTTATCTTTGCAGCATGTTCTATTAACACAATACCTTCCCAGACAGTTGGATGAAACTTATAACTTTTATAGTAATAGTACATATAATCAAGTTGTTTCCGTCTTGGTTCTAAAACTACATCGTTCTTGAATTTCCGATGAAGTTTTTGTAAATTCTTTACAAAATACTTAAAATAAGAAGATTGGAAATATGAAATAATCAGATCATTTGTGGGAAAAATTTATGAAAAATGCTATTGTAACATGTGTAATGGATTGACAGAATGATTGTTAAGATGGTCATACCTACCTGACAGTTTTGACTGAATTTGTCCTCATATTGTAATTCATCTTTTAAAGTTAGTTTTTCGTGCTGAGCACTTAAAAAGAGAGATAGATTATATGTCAATGAAACAATAACCTGACGACAAAATGTACCGAAAATCAGCTACAGGGCTACATACTGTCAATTATCATCGACAGATTTATATTCAATACCACGCGGATTAAACAGATATATATATAACTATAGTGACGAAAATCCTACATTTGTAAGATGCAGGACGTATATTTCTGATAAACTTTTCTAAAAACTTGTAGAAGAAGAATAATTATTTTGTGTTTATAACTAGAAAGGGGGTACACTTGAATTCATTGATGGAGAGGCACAGTGAAGAAATCAACTGTTGAAAAAATGAATAATGTTAGTTAAGTAAAAGAAAAAAGATATCGATGACAGCAGCTAATGATTATGATGACTCTATCTAATACCATTTCGTAACTCGTAAAAATTCAAGTCGGGTAGAAAACTTTCTAGTCGGATGATGCATATCAAAACAATGTAAAATTGACTAAGATAGTTGTTTTACGTCCAGTGTCAAAAAAGGCATTTTTTGAAGAAAAACAACTGATAAATGAACACACATTTTACATATTGCCGTTGATAATTAATAATACTAAAAAAGAGGGAAATTGGGGTTATGGTTTCTATATCTCATTTTTATCGGATTATACTGGTTACTTATTCTCTTCGGTAATTGGTCTCTAGTTGAGAGTTGGCAATCATACCACTTCTTACTTTTAAAGCATTTTTTTCAAATTAGGATCCTCTTCGTTCGAGTTTAATAACACATGGCATGAATCTTGTATAATATGAAATTGGCCTGAACTGAGGTACGGTATCATTTTAATTGACCGATTATTTGCTCGTTGCGTAATGACAAGTGGTAACAATAAGAAAATGTTCATACATTTTCAAAATCATCATTGAATAACTAGTTGCCTAGAGAGAACCACCGACTAACGGTCAGAAAATTGACGATCCTAGCCAATTGAGATTGGAGTCGAGCGCACCTGCCACAAGCGGGATTCGAACTCACAACATAAGTGTTGACAGGCTATTAATAAAGTAGTTCGACTACTTAGACCACTAGAGTATCGTGTTATAATCTATGTATTCAAATCATTTTGAATATCAAAGACTTATCCAGGTAAAAAAAGTATATTTTCTTTTTTTTGTCATAATAAGGTTAAGTAAAAAAGGGACCAAACATTGTTTACTAGAGGTACTCCTGTACTGATATACTTTAAGGAGACAAAATCAATCCAAAACAAGTTTCTGGCATCTGTTACCTAATCTATCTCAAATCTAAGAATTCAAATTGATATAAATATTAAAGACATTTCCATATAATAAACAACCATGCTGCATTTGTACATCATAAAACAATAAGCATATATATTTCTCATTATCATTATTATCAAGATATAAAGTAATAGTATTCATTTAAACAATATTTATTCAGATAAATCAACATTAAACGATATTATACAAATGAAATAAGTACTAAGGATTCAGAAACAAGCAAATTTGCTTTTACAAATCTGTCTCCTAGTATTATATATTGCTATTTTGAATAATTGTACAATCTTCAATTTGAAGCGCAGTGCTTGATTAAGTAAATTTAGGATTATTTTGCGTGGAATAATCATTTTCACCTGTTGCCAGGTTACATTTTTTTTTTATTTCGCTTCACCAATTAGTTGTCACAATTTACAAATTAATTTCAACAATTTGTAGGTCTTTTTTTTTTTATTTGTCTCGTGGAGAAGATTATTTTTTTTCCAGTTCGTACTCTGCCAGGATATTTATTTCCAAAATCATCCCCCAAGCCGTTCCTAGAAAATTGTATTGTTAGTACAAGACGCCGGTAATAGACACGATAATGTGAGTTTCTTTGCTCTTAAAAACTGTAGTATAGGTAATTTAAATGTCTCACTCTCTAAACTAATGAAAAAAGTATTCTGTAGTCATTTAGTTCCAAATTCCAATCATAAGTCCCGTAGTGACTTAATTTTTGATTTGAGACACTGGCAAATTATTATTATTTGAAAGAAAAGATATGGCAGTTTTGGTGGAAGCTGACAATCAATGTTTATACAACAATCCTGAGATAGCAACACTTCTGTAATGCTTGTTAAAACTTAAAAAAAGGAAAAATGTTTGAGTCTTAGCTGAAAATTTATCATATTCAATGTGTACCCGCTCGTTGTACACTCCCATCTGATCTGGCAACACAGTTTTCGTCCTTATATTTTCGTTTTCTACAAATAGAGTCTCTTGTGTGGACAGTGTATAACTTTTAAAATATTTTTTTTCATACCCGTTCCCAATTTATCCTCATGTATTATGGCTCCCAAAATAGCAAGTAGGGGAATGAAATTACACTAAAAACAGGTTGGCAACGATTTTCAAAGTAAAGAAGTGATTTGGTCGAGTCAAAAAAAGATTAAAAATTAGCATGTCTGAAGCTGTCAAACAGACTTAAAGACACCCTCGGCATAAAATGTCAAAATTTTGAGTTACAGTTGAAGTTTTTCTGAAAGTTTGATATGACTTGTCCCAAAAGTAGTACACCACACTGTAAAAATATTATTGAGAAAGCGCGTTTTTTTTTTATCTTTTTATTTGCATTTATTGTTTATAACGAATTAACTATGTTTTCGGGTTTTCTGGTTGAATTTATATACAATTTTGCCCACATAAATTAAAACTAGTAATATATAAATTTTATTAAACAAACTATATGAATATGTGCCTGTAAGGAACCTTTTATTTAGTGGTTGTCGTTAAGTGCTGTTTATCATATTTGTTTAGCGTTTAGTTTGTTCTTGTGTTGTGTCGTTGCACAATTGAACCAGGTTATGAAGAGGGTTGGCGCAAACAAACTAGTTTTACCCCGCCACATTATATATGTGCCTCTCCAAAGTCCGGAGCCTGTAATTCAGTGGTCGCGTTTATAGCTGTATGGCAGATTCCATATAAGAAAGTGAAACAACTCCCATAAGCACGTTAGGCAAAAATCATAAGCAATGAACTTCTGTTTTTGAATACATGCTTTAATAATAAAGATAAAGACAATTTGACAAAAAAAAAAATTATGAGCATCATCCTTTTTAAATAAACGAAGCCTTAAATATTATGTTTCTGACATAAGATTTGACAGACTTTATTGTTTCTGACATAAGATTTGACTGACTTTATTGTTTCTGACATAAGATTTGACAGACTTTATTTTTTCTGACATAAGATTTGACAGACTTTATTATTTCTGACATAAGATTTGACAGACTTTATTTTTTCTGACATAAGATTTGACAGACTTTATTATTTCTGACATAAGATTTGACAGACAAATTGAGTTTCTGACACAAGATTTTGACAGACTTGATTCTGACATAAGATTTTTCATACATAAGATATTTTGACAGACAATATATATTTGTTTTTTTTGACTGACATTGGAAATCAAATCCTAGTTGAAAGTCATTTTTAAAACTCCTGGAAAATACTGCAGCCTAACATCTAACAAGATTTCACTACAGGTCAAAGAACTTCAACTGTTAGCACATTCAAATGTTTCAGACATAAGAAAACAAGTTTGACAGATCTTATGTAGGAAACATATAATTTAAAACTATTGCTTGAATAAAGTTAAATGAAAGAATCAACATGTGTGTTTTCTTATGCACAGCATGACTTACAAATTTAACTGGCAATGATTTTGAAAGTTTTTACAGCTATGTTCCTGACATAAGATTTATTGACAGACACTGAGCTATAAAGCAAGATATTTGAAAGTGAAAAAAAATATATATCACAGATGTTTTTGACTAAAAAAAGTAACAAATTTGGGAACAGGGATGTTTGAATAACCAGACTACACTAGTAAATACCAGTATACAAGTGTCAACATAAAGCATTGCAACACATAAACATTGTGTAAAAAAATGGGAGTTAATTCTGTCAAAATTTTTGCATTTTTTCAACTTGTTTTAATCATTTCTACTTTAAACGGAAACAATCATATCCAAAAATTATTTTTATAATTTCTTCTAACATCATTATTCCTCAAAACATTCACAGATTATCTTTAAAATAACAGTAATTATTATTTTTATTTATTTATTCATTTTGACAGACATTTCAATTTCTTATATGGAATTTGCCGTATATCATATTCGTATTTCGTTCATAATTGTGTTCATAATTCAGGCTGTTAGTTTTCTCGTTTAATTATTTTACATTTGTCATGTTGGTGACTTTTATAGCTGACTATGCAGTTTTTTGTATACAAATCATCATGAGATATAAAGACTATTGATTTTTATTGCAGACATATTGAAGAAAAAGTGGAATGCCTATTTCTATATCATGGTTTGCAGAATTAGATTTTTATCAAAAAAGCAATGTACCTAGGACGTTTGTCTTTTAGCATGGTAATCAGTATATATATATTTTTTTAATTTCTTAAGAGGCAGATCTTATGGTGATTTTGTTACAATCCAAGTTTTATGTGTATCGTATTTCTTACAATGAGACACAAGGATATTTATTTAATAGTTGAAAAATCGATGTGAAGCAGCCCTTGTCACAAGTTAACTTATTGCGGAGAAGACCAGACCACATCAAAAGTTGAACTAGGTATGATACATCAATCACTATAAGAAGATAAACAACACGTACATACAAGAGACATTTATTGAACAAATAACGAATAATCATAATCTGTAGAGATTTGTATCATGTGTATATTAAGTCAAGGTGGCAAATTTAAAGGACGATTCTTAATAATTTGACTTCATCAATAATATTATGGTATGCTATGTTCATTGAAATCCAAGACTTCATTGCAAACACGAGCATATCGATCGAACGGAGAAACTTACACTCCACACGAAGAAAATGATGGAACAGCATAAAAATAAAATTGAAATAAAACCGTGCGTTTATCATGTTTATCATAAATTGTATATATATTGTGCTGTTAATATATCTATAAAGTTTGGTGTTTTGCTATGTCTTTATGTAGCTTTGAGATTCATAACAGTAAAGGAAAACATTTGCATTAAACGGAGCACTACGTTCCCATCCGAATACTTTCCTATATGCTTTATCTAAGAAATGAAAATATATTTCTCAAGAAAAACAGAAATAGCTTTTATCATTTCTTCAATAGAAAAAAAATATATGATGTATCCATCCATGACACACAATCAGTATGTGCACACCAAAAAAAAAATCAAAAGGCGAAAGAAACACCAATTGTATTGCTGTTCTTCATCTCAAAGTCACATGTTTGCATGTTCTAAATGTGAAGTGTGAACTCACAACATAAGTGTTGAAGGCTACACTACAAACTACTCAGAGTCTGAAAAGACCATATTTTACTTAACAAGACTCGGCATAATCTCGACATTACTTAACTGTGCTTAACTATACTTGACTTTGGTCTCGACTTTACTATATAAGTCTGATTGAGTACTTGATATTCTTGGTATAGTCTGAACTCAGTCTCGACCTCTCTCAAATCAGTCTTGACCTTTAAATTTTGTCTCGATTGATCTTACAAAATTCAAGGTTATTTGGTAGTTTGGTTCATTGCTGTCAAATTAAAGGTGGCTGATTTAATTGAGAATACAAACATTGTTTTATGCGTATATAAAGGAGAGCAAAACCTTAAACGTTCCAACAAAAGGTACTAAATTAACCTAAAAGTTTGGAGAAATGATTGAGATTTTTCCTCATGTAATAATTGTAATGAATTGTATTGAATTACGTATACAATAGAAGGACGGTTAAATATCTCAAATATTTTGATATCTATATGTATCCTACTTGTACCGATCTTTTACACACTTTTGTACACAGGTAAAATCAGTAATCAATGATAGTAAAGTTTTAAATAAATGTATACCGATACACAACAACTAAAATTTGTATGATGTTATAAGCAGGTAAGAACGGGGAAAACAAAAATTCTAAATTACATAATGGGTCAATCTGTTTTTCAAATGTTTCGCATCAAACCAAATGTTCGAAACCTTCCAGCCAGCAAAACAAAAAGTACACGCAAAAACACACCATACACCAAACAGTACACAAAGTATGGCGGCATTTAAAAAAAGAAATCAGTATCATTGTTGATTCATCGTGAACATTTTACATCGGTTAAGAATGATAAGAATTATTTTGAATAGAAGCAAAAAGTTACTTGAATTGTACTTGATTTTCATATGATGAAAACATAATCTTTCAATCATTTTAATTGAGGTCTGGAGCTGGCATGTCAGTAACTGCTAGTAGTCCTTTGTTCATTTATGGTCATTTTGCTTGGTTTCTTTTGTTACCTATTCTGACATCGGATTTCTTTTGAACTGAGTTTTACTGTGCGTATTACTATGTGTTTCTTTAATCTACAGTTCTGGCTAGAGGTATAGGGGGAGGGTTGAGATCTCATAAAACATGTTTAACCCTGCCGCATTTTTGCGCCTGTCCCAAGTCAGGAGCCTCTGGCCTTTGTTAGTCTTGTATGTTTGTTAATTTTAGTTCATTTATATGTTTTGGAGTTTAGTGTGACGTCCATTTTCACTTAACTAATACACAATTTGTTTTAGGGGCCAGCTGAGGACCACCTCCGGGTGCGGGATTTTCTCGCTGCGTTGAAGACCCATTGGTGACCTTCGGCTGTTATCTGCTCTTTGGTCGGGTTGTTGTCTCTTTGACATATTCCCCATTTCCATTCTCAATTTTACTTAGATGATTAACAAGTTAGAGTATAATCTTCTTGGTTGGATAACAACACTTACATTATACTGCATGTAAAAAGTACACGCGCGTTTTGTTGAAATATATACGCGTATATTATTTTAAAAAACCGCTTAAATAATTTATCTTGTTATTAAATGATATACGCGTGTAAATGAAGACACGCATATCTTAACGCTTATTTAAATTGCTCTGTTATCATGTTTATAAGGGTTTACCCTTTACCTATATCTTAAGAGGTGCTGACCTTTCCCTAGCACCTACGCACATACTATTCTTTAACAAAAGGACAAAAGTGCAGAAAAGTGGGGTAGCAAATTAATTATTGTTAATGTAATCACATTAAATGATTGAGTTAAAATATTAAAGAAAATTTACTAACACGAACACTAAAAGAGGTTCCATATTACCCCTAGAGCCTGTATTTAAGTCTGATTTGAGTTCACATGTAACTGTATATTATGTGTATGTGTGAGATACTACTTTTAAGAAAAGACGTTTACATGTTTAATAGTCTGTTTGCCAATTTCCGAAATTGACCCTGTAATTAGATACCCCCTTCTTAGTTGTCTCCGTTAGGAGGGACAAAATTCTCATTAACAATGGAGAGCTAGCGGAAAACGTAAATTCATCTGTGCGTAATTTGTGTAACATTTTAGTTTTTCAAATCTTTTAATTACATTTATTTTGTTGTGATGCTAAATACTTTCGATACCAGAAGTTATTTCCACTAAAAATTTGTTAAAACGCCGATATATCACTTTCAATCATGTTTTGCGTGGGAAAAAGTCAATTTTGTCCGGGTTAGAACCAGTCTACGATTCACAAAGAGAAGTTTAAAATGTGTGTGATAACAAAATCAAATCGGTAATTAGCAAATGAACTATTAGCTTATTATTTTCTCTTTTACTTTTGGTTATTTGAAAAGTACTTGTTCCTAAAACAGTGATGTTTAAACATTATCGTAATATACAAAATGGTGAAAGTGGGTGTCATTAATTTTTTGGTCTCTTATTTTTGCATGTTAACGGATTCAAATGAGGTTGAAATAATGTGCAATCAACAAGTAACGAACGTTTTATCAAAGTGTTGATTTTTTGGCATATTGAACCGCACCAATTGCTGATAGCAAATCGTCTTTCAATGTACCATTCTTGTAAATGATTAAACAAAACCAATTACTTAAGATTTTCTGCATCTTAGAAAATGCCGCAATAACGCGAAATCAATAGAATTTACAGAATTTCATGAGAAATTTACGTGAATATCACATAAAAATAAAATGATTTTGTTTTCACGTTGAATTTACGGATATCCAAATTAAAGTTATTCAAATTATATCTCAATTTTCAAACTCAATTAATATCATGAAAATTACCAATTTGTTTTTTTTTAAGTTCACGTGAAATTCACGTGAATGTTTTCAAGTACAAGCTCATTTGAGGTGAAGTTCACGTTACAATTTTCACTTGAATTTCACGTGATAGTCATGTGAAGTTCTCTTGAGTAAAAGTTTCTTTGTAGGACCCATAGTTTTGTCATATTGAAAAAAATGGTAATGGATTGTGGGAACCTTGAAGGCTAATACCATAACGATGTATTGTCTTTTATGAAAGGACAGCCTTTCAACTTTTATTTCACTCACGTGAAACATATAGTATAATTCTTTAATGATCATCATTTTATTCATTCATATTTTTTCCTCAGGTCAAAAAGTGGATTGCAGATGAAGAAATGTCAAAACTATAAGGCACTCTATTCAACATCAACTAAGACAAGCTATGATAGAAATGGCCACAAACGAAAGAGAATCATTCTGCGTCATTTGCCAAAGCAGGGACCTTAATAAGTCAGCGGAAGAATACTGTCCACAATGTGAAGAGGTTCTTTGTGGAGACTGTCGCCATCACCATAAGATATCGAAGTCGACAAAATCACATCAGACCATCCCTATAGAGAATTATAACAAAGTACCGTCCTTTATCAAGAAAATTAGCCATAATTGTAAGGAGCATGACTGCTTCCTTGAATTTTATTGTAAATCTCATGAATCTCTTTGTTGTAAACTCTGTTTGATATCAGGTCATAAAGAATGCAAAGAAACTATTTTCGTTGAAAATTTTCTAACGCCATCTTTAGAACACCAGTCAGTAGCTTTAAACAATATTGAAAACGTTCTGACAGATCTTGAAATCAACATTTCTTCCACTTTAAAGGATAGACATCGAAATTTAACTGAATTGCGTGAACAGAAGCAGATGATTGCAGAGAAAATTAAGGAAAAACGTCAAGAAATCAATACACGATTAGACAATTTAGAAGAAGCCTTACTAGAAAAAGTATCTGCAATAGAAAAAGAATACTGTCAGAGTATAGAAGATGTGATAGTGGCACTAGAGGACGAAAAAAAGAAAGTAAAGGAAATTCAAAAAGAAATTGAATCTGTTAAAATGTTTGCATCCAATCTACAAATCTTCATCGGATCAAAGTCATTCCAGCAAAGAGTTTCCACCAATGAAACTAACGTCCAATTATTAAACGATAACGGATGCTTTAACAACTTAACGATGAAATGTACGTTTAATGATAAACTAGACGGGTTGATCAAAGAAATACAGACATTTGGGGAGATAGAAATTGACAATCGTGAAAAACATGTTGCTTTTATCTGGAAAGGTAACAAATAAGCACAAATCTTAAAATCGTTTCCGCGAGAGAAATTGATTTAAAACATAAATATCAGGCTGGTACGTAAGATTAACATAGATGGCAACGGTCTTACTGGATGTGTAATTGCAGACGCTGGAAAAATGCTATTTCTACAAGCACACAAAAATTGTATAATGAAATATGCACCGAATGGTGAATTCCATTCAAAATTGCATATCAACAGTGCGCCGTTCAACATTGGATATGGCCTCGCAGTGGTCGATTCAAATACGGTAGCTGTATCAACTGGTGAAAATTATCCACACAAAATTTACTTAATTGATATAAATAGTACAGAAACTCGACAAAGTTGTTTATCTTGATGACTTCTGTTTTGGTTTAAGCTATCACGATTGGTCATTGATTTGTTGTACATTTGAGAAAGGCATTCAAATATTTAACCTTTTAAAACAAAATTTGACATACATTCAAACACTGCCGAATGCACCTAAAGACGCAAATGAAGCATACGTTGCTTCCATTGAGGATTGCATTTTTCATTCTAACTGGCGTGATCATTCTGTCGTATGTTACGATTTCTGTGGGCAGGTGAAATGGATATATTCCAGTTCGTTGCTCAGACGACCGTACGGCATAACCTTAGACTCACATTCGAACATTTATGTTGCTGGTTCTGAATCAAACAATATCGTAGTTACATGTATATCAACGGACGGAAAGAATGCAATAGAGCTTATTGGAGCTAAAGATGGAATTTTAAATCCTCGTGCAATTTATTTTGATAAAACGAAAAACTTGCTTTTAGTAGCAAACTATGACGGAGTTGCCTTCCTATTTGATGTTTGATACATGTACAATTCACCTGTAAACGTTCTGCGCCTGAAAACAATTATATCTTCAATAATGTCTTATCGAATAAGGATTAAACTGAAAGGGTCAACTTACATTTAACGTATCACAATTTATCTTTCATGTATTGAAGTTACATAAAATAAAATGTATTTGGAATATTTGGTGTTTCTTTAAAATGTGATAAATAAGTTATCGTGGGTAGAAAAAGCAAACCAGTCAGTCACTAAAATAATCTGTTTATTTTGCAATTTTTTATTTCTTTCCACAAATGAATCAAAATATTATAACAATAATACCAAACTCCAAGGTAAACTCAAAAAGGGGAAGACAATAAAAACTGACAAAATCAAAAGTTGCCAATCAATAGAACGAGTAAAAAAACAACCGTCATATTCCTGACTAACTTGGTACATGCATTTCCCGAAGTAAATGGTGGGTTAAACCCTGTTTTATAGTAATCTAATTCCCACGATTGTATCACAAATGGTTATAGTCCGTTTTAACATACCTCAGTTATCATTTTTTGTATAAAATAAGTACACAATATTTTCACTATTTTTCAAATTGCAAGTGTTGGACTATTTGACCAGTCAATAGTTTCCAACTATTTGACCGCAAGCGTTATTATATTTCGCGGAATTTCAACTGCAGCTACGGTTTTGGAGGATGTTGAGAATACAACTAGAGTAACGACGTCGCGTTTTACCTATTGCATCTAGGGTTGACGTCAATGCGTTAACATTTAGAATATATATGAAGTAAACGTTAACCCTCTTGTCGCCGGAGGAACACATGTGTCCACAGCGGCTGTGTCGGAGGAATACATATGTCCGTGTTTTAATTTATGCAAGGTTCTCATCATTGCTCATCTCTTTCAAATAAAATACCAAAAATTAAGCAGTGTAATATTTTTCGTCGTGGGCCCCAAAATAACGTCATTAGTGTGTGACGTCATATATAGAACGACGTTCTTGTTAGGCATGTAACGTCACAAACGTACAGGTGTCGTACTATCTGGCACACGAAATGCAACCATTTAAAACAACTAGTTAACAGTATGGTTGAGTTCTTCTTTTTATATTGCGATAGTTGGTTTAGCCCCGATATTTATTGGCTGTTGTCTCTTTCGGCATAATAAAACACTTACTGACTGGATATTCGTGGAATAATAAGTTTATTGTCCCTTACGATACAACTATTGCCTTCGGCTACGCGATAAGGGCAATAGTTGCACCTCGGGGTCAATAAACTAACTTTTCCACTCATGCACAGTCAATGAGTACAAAATACTGACACGATTCCTTTAACGAGTCAGAGGAGTTACTTTTATAGCAACCGCGTTGCCGGCATCAACTCTAACATATTTTCCGAATAGAATAAGTACCCATGATACATCAATGATATTTTAGGTATAACAGACTTGCATTCATGCAGGATATAATTTCACTTTCCCTCAGAGAAGCACAAAATTTAAACGTTTCAAGTCTTTTGGCTATGCATTTAGTTTAAAGTAATACATGTTTCTTTGGAGTACTAGTTGTCTTGTTTAAGTCATAAATCTGATGCTGATGTTTCAATGGCAACTTCTTAGTGCATGAGTGTTTTGCGTGATCTATAGGTTCTAAATGAAGAAATATAGATTGAAGCCTTTACTAAATGAATTATTATGGAACTCCTCTTGGAGAAATTTGTTCAAAAGAGAAAAATCGCATCCAGCTTGTAAGATGTTTAGTATTATGAAATTCAATAGAGTATAGATTTATCTGTCAAATAATTTCTTTTTATACACTTATTTGTAAAAGTTATACATATGCAATATAGGGGGAATAAACCCGAATACGCAAATATAGAATGAGGAAGGATGAATGTACCTTAATTTTTTTTTTTTATCTTTATCTAAATCATTTCCAGTTTGTAAGGCTTACCTAAGAGCGCGTCTACATTTAATTTTATTATAGTGTACAGTGATGCTCCTAGACAAAAAATAGACCAAGAGGTAACTAGCTAGAGCTAGTGACGGTATTTAAATTCTTCGTTCTATCTTTTTTTAACAAAAAATACACTTGTAGTAGTAAACTATAAATGAGTTGCATTCTTATTTAACATTTAATACTATTAGACTGTTGAATTAGCCTTCTGCTATTTAGTGCAATTCCATCTTCTTTATCTCGATTGTGACATAACTGAATAATACTTATCATCGGATTTGTACTTGAGCAAGAATGGTGCCTGTTGTAGAGCAGAAACTGATCACTCTTCCAGAGCACCTGAGTTAATTCCCAATTTTTGGTGGGATTTGTGTTGCTCAATCTTTGTTTCCTATGTTATGTTTTGTTCACTTGTTCGTAATTACGTCTTTTTTTTTCGTTTTTTTGCCATGTTGTTGTCAGTTTTTTTTCGACTTCTGAATTTTTAATGTCTTCTTGGTATCTTCTGCATTTTTTTATAAGAATGTTCTAATTATCGTAACTACAACCAGGTCTTCTTTACCTCAATTGTGACATTACTGAATGAGAATCATCACCGAATTTGTACTTACCTCGAGCCACAAGATGGGTGCCACCAGTGGAAAATGGTCTGCTTATACTTCAGGAGCACTGGAGTCCATCCACGGTTTTTGGTGGGGTTGTGATTGTTTAGTATTAAGTATTTTATGTTGTGTTTTGGGAACTTATTGGTCTTTTTGTCGTCTTATTTTTTTTTTGCCATTGCGTTGTCATTTCATCACGGCATTTAATTTTTGAATGTTCCCTTGGTATCTTCAAAAAGCAATGAATGTTTAGATATATGGGCAATATGTTATCTTATTAAAATAAAAGGCCGAACAGAATTTCACATTTCAAAAGGGTATTCTAAAACACATATTAAAATATCTTTTAGCAGATGTAGAGAAGTTGACAAAACGTATATAGATCCAAAAAGCATTGGAGAGAACACAGATGAATATTCGGTTTTAAAGGGCAAATTCAATACTATACATTAAACTATAATTCTATTTGGTCAAACTGATACATAAGAAATTTCTAAGCAAATCAAATGATGTGGTGACCATTAAGTGTTTGGTAGGTTCATGTATATAATGTTAATGACCATTCCAAACGGCTTAGCAATTACAACTAAAAGATAAGATGACAATGGGTGTAGTGAGCTCACATTGGACAATTGGGCTCTGGTGAGCCAACAAATGTGTGGTCATCTAATACAGCCACTTTCAGTTGTCTTTAAAAAAAAATAACAAATGACACCATATGTACAAACAAACAATAACCATATTTAATGGAAGCAATAGGAATAAAGGATATTAATTTTTTTTTATAAATCCATTTATTTCATCACATTTTGCAATTATGGCATGTATAGTTTTCTATGAATTTGAGATACTGTACATTCTGAATTTTTTGCAAAGTTTTTATTATGACAAAAAATTGTGACAGGATATCTGATGCAATAAAAACTAGATGTGTCGGAATGACATGAATGGGCCCGCTTTCCAAAATAGCTTGAGGCCATTAATAGGAGTGGAAATTTTCAAAGTCTAAAGACTGTAATTTTGGCAAAAATCATAGGAGCACAACCAAATATAAACTCGATCTGTTACTCATGATAGTAGACTCACATAATAAAAATCAGCTCAATAGTGAAGGTATTTAGAAAAAAAGTCTGTATAACTATTATTTTCACAAAATATTCAAAGTCCGCAATTTTGAGATAAATCAGCGGAGCGAACTAAATGTAAACTCAATCATTAACTCATCATAGTAGACTTGCATACTAAAAATCAGCACAGTGTGTGAAGGTATTTAAAAAAGTCTGTATAGCTGTTCATTGTGGAATGTCAGAATGGCAGAATGAAGGAAAAGGGAAAAACTATATGGCCTGACCTAAATCAGCATTCCAAAATCTGACAAATTAATCTCGAATTTGTGTCTATTGTTCAACAATCAACAATAAATCCATGCAAAAATTTCTGAATGTTCAGTAACTGTTTAACTAAACAGACATTATGCAATTATAATGTACAAATGTAGTAAATTATATTTTAATTAACAGAGGATAATCTCACAGAAGTCTTACATATTTTGAAACATAATCAATAATTGTGAAGCACATTGCAAAATGATTTATAATTGTGAAATATCAGTATTACAACCGATTTTTGAGGAGATATAGATTTTAACGCAAAACTGAACAAAAATCATCAAAACAAATGTAAAATGAGTTGGTGATAGAAAAAAGAACCCTGTTTAAAGCATATGCGCATTTAATTTCAATCATAAAATGCAAAATCATATACCGCATTTTAAGTCTATTAAAATTACCTTAATAATATGATAAAAAGCAAAATTGTTCCAAGAATCAAATACAATAGGTAGATCATGTTGACCCAAAGATTGAAAAGTGAATCCTAGCTATATATATATAGCATTCAAATATCACTAACACACACTATGGGTTTTACCCAAAAGTATTTCTAATGACTACTTTTATAGCAAAATATGTATGTCTGCCAGTCTTTATATCGCATGTATTGTACCATGTTACAGGGTTAAAATTGTAAATTATCAGTGTTATATCAGAAAAGTTAAAGTTTGATGAAACATAAAATTTAAATGCAGCACTAAACCACAATCATTCATGAGTCAATTGAAGATTGTAATGGAAAGGTGTTATACTAAATATAGAACATGCAAAACGAAAAATCCAATTTACTTTTAATACATTTTGTGTATCAAAAAGTTCTGAAAAAAGATTGAAAGCAAAAATAAGTTTTCCAAAAACTTAAATTAAGTAAAGATATTAAAATGTTACTGACCAATTCTGTACAAAAAGGGCTACGATGGTGAAATGTCATTGTTACAATATAATAACGTTAGGATAAATAAATAGAATTAAACACCAAATTATTATCATCACATTTTCATGAACAAGGGTTAAATACATTTTTACATTAGCACTAGTACTGCCACTTATGTTATGAAATTAAATCTGAAGTGAAAATCTAGAGATCTGCTCTCACTTTATTCCTGTTGGAAAAATGCCTTCTTTAACCTAATTTATGTTCTTGTTTAAAAAAAATCTGAAGAACTAAACATTCATTTATTGCAGCATAAACCTTACAGTAATTCATACATCAACATATAGCAGTAAAAGACATGATCATAATAAATTTTCAAATAAAAATAACCATTTCCCCTATCCTTTTTTTTTATTGTATAAATACACATGCTGATACAATCTAAATATAACCCTGAGTAAATAAACAGAACTTTTATTCAGATAAAGTAGTCTTACTCTTAGTTAAGAAATTTCTGTATATTTTCAATGGTTCAATAATCACCAAATTAAATAGCTAACAAAAATTCCAAATTTACATTCAGATAGTACTAAACTCATGTCTTAAAATTTTAAAATATTCAATTGATGAAAAATTAATATGTAATGAATCCGAAAATTAGTACTGTCATAACATAAGATTATACAACTGATCGATGCATTTTAGAATTACAATTTTCCTAAACTAACCATCTTTTTTAAACAATTTTCTTATTTCTGAAAAATGCAATTATATTGCAATTTAAATACGCAGTTTAAAATCTTCCCCAAACATTTTTTTATTTTTTTGTTGCATTTATTGATATCACATGAAATACTTTGGATTGATTTATTTTTGTGGGTACCAATTTTCGTGCATTGAGGAAAAATTGTATTTTTCGTGGATATTTAATATCCTCGTTTTACCAAAGTCTGCATGCATATGCAAGCCTATAGAAAATGTGGACTCTATTGAACATTTAAATTTGTGATTAACCCTTACCCAGGAAATCCACGAAAATTTGTATTCCACGATTAATAATGAATCCAAAGTAATCTGGCATATTTGTCAGTTGGTCATCAAATACAACAATTTCTAAAATTCCCAGTATACAAATAAATAATAAAGTTTCACAGGAAACTTCTTAGACAGTATGTACACTACTGTCTTTATAAATACTGGATTCTTAATTTCAGGGATTATGCACTAAAAAAAAGTCTATAATCACTGAGCTGGCAGGATAAGATGGTAAATATAAAGCAGTCATACAAACTACATACATGTAGCAATCTCTATCATTCTAGTTCACGGCAAATCATTTTCACAAATTATCACAAATTCCATTTCAACTGATGAGAGAACATCTCCTTTTCATACAGCATGTCTCATGCTCCAATATTCAGCATACCTTTAAAAGGTATCAGATCACCTGAATATCAAATTATCTCCCTTTCCTTAAGAAAGGGCATGATGTAAAATGAAGTCTTGATAAATGAACACATGGCAATAACTGGAGGTTTTAGGTATCACTATCTAGTGGCATACATAGTTATGTATTCCTTCACTTTGGTTTTGAATGATTCCTGTAAAAAAAAAAGAATCATATTAAACGAAATCTTATAATCTAACTGATAAGTTTCTACTTTTAACAGAACTCAGTGTTTTCCATAAGTTTTCATAAAGCACCATGGGATTTAACAAAAGCACTGTATCCCATAAATCCTAGCACCATACTTGCAATAACCATAATGATTTGGTTGACCGTTATGGAAAATTGATGTCCCATACAACTTTCAATATGTTCCACTTGTCGTAACTACAATTCCTGTCTTCTTTTATCACAATTGTGATACAGTAAACTCCACCTAATCGGATATCGCTTAAACTAATATATCGGCTATTGTAATATTTTTTCAAAACACCAAAATTTATTACCAAAAATGGCTTATTATTTAGAGTATATAAGTTATATACTTTTCCCATTTCCAAAGTACTTAAAAAAACTACTTATGGCAAAAATTATCATTTATAATTATAAAAATTGATTTAGTTACTCTAATATGTAAAATATAGCTGTATTATTGTCATTTGTTGTTGTAAATCATATTTGTTTTTAGTTTGTTTTGTATATAAATCAGGTTGTTGGGTTACTTGTATGAATTGTTTTAAATTTTGTCATGTAAGGGCTTTTTATAGCTTTCTTTCTTTATTTGTTTTGCTCATGTTAAAGGCCAAAGGGTGACCAATACATGCTAGCATCCAAGTTATTTATTCTCTTGTGAATAGTTGTCTCGTTGGAAATCATACCACATTTCCTTATTTTTAAAACCGTATATTCAGAAATTATTGCATGGTTTTTATTAATGTGAATAATGTGACTGGGTGAGTATCGGAATAATAGGAACTTGTTTTCTGAAATCTTATACATATATCTTTATGCAGGTGTTTCTGAAATTGCAATTATTAATCTGGCACTTTCCTGAATTTACAGTACACATGATACATATGATTAAATGTCATTCTGTAAAATAGTCTTTTTTTACCCTATTCCTGCTATAATGATCTGCTGCATCTTACCTTATTCCTGCTATAATGATCTGCTGCATCTACATTTAATGGGTCATCAAAATTTAATAAATCCTGAAATTATACAAACATTATAATCAACTACAATACAAACATATCTAATGAAGGTAATACAATTTTTTCTCCAACTATTCTGGACTTTCTAAAAAAAATATAGAAATGGAAGCTGTCATTCTGTCATTTTCCAACAGATTTTACATTTATAAAATATATTTAACAAGAGGCTGTCAGAGTGACAGCAAACCAGATTTTCCTGCAGAGGTCAAACCCTGAACAGTTGAGCAAGTATGGACACTTCATTTAAGCTTAAAACTGCTCTGAATTTGGATTGTGGTTGAATATTTGACACAGCATAGGTTTGTGACACAAAATGAATGTGGTCAAAGAACTGAAATATTTGAAATTGGACATTTATTTAATTACCTACTATGGTCCAATATCCAAAATCTAAGTACATTGTCAGAATCAGCATATCAAAGAACTCCAAAAATTCATTTTTCAATGAAATCAAACAAAAGTTTAATTTAGGACCCTTTGGACCACAATGTAGACCAATTTGATAAAGGAGCTCACAATCTAAAATCTCTCAATACATGGTAAGATTCAGCATTTCAAGGAACCACATAAATTCAATTTTTGTGAATCAAACAAAGTTTAATTTTGGACCCTGATTTGGACCAACTTGAAAACTGGGCCCAAAAATCTAATATTTAAATACAGGTTTAGATTCAGCATTTGAAAGAACCCTATATATATTTAATTTAAGTTGAAATGAAACACAATTTAATTTTATCCATATATTTTCTGTGCAAAGGGAAATAACTCAAACTTGATAAATAGATATGATTATAATGAATAAAGTGATGACTAAGTTCTATAAAATTAGATATGATGTAATTTTTCAAATTATAATCAATAGTATAATAACAACAACCAGCGATGACTAAGTTCTCTTAAATTAGATATGATTTAACACTCAAACATTGTTAAAATCAGCATATCAAAGAACCCAAGAATTCAATTGTTGATTAAACAAAAGTTTAATTTAGGACCTTTAGTACCTCGATGTGGTATTATCTAACTAATAATGAAAATAAATACAGGTTTAGATTCAGCATTTCAAAGAACCCTATATATACTCAATTTATGTTGAAATCAAACACAGTTTAATTTTGGACCCTAATTTGGACCAACTTGATAACTGGGCTCAAAATCAGAAATCTAAATATATGTTTATTAATAGACAATCTAAGCTAAGTTTTAAAGGGAGTTCACCTAATCCAAAAAATATATATAGCATTCAGAAAATTAGTTTTTGCAGAATAACAAACAATTTACAATTTACCAAAGTAAAGAAAAAAAAAATCAAAACTTTTATTTATCATTAATACAATGTCTTTTAAAAATCTATAAAACTTATCTGTAATTATCTTCAAAATGTCTAATAATGAACAGTAAATTTCTAACTATATTTACTACTATAAAGCTTTTAATCATCAACACTTAGAAAACAGAAAATTTTCAAATAAATCTGTCACTCAAGATAAGACATTAACCATATGTTTAGTAAACTGATTACAGGACTTATAAACAGGTGAAAATTATCTATAAAGGCTTAGTGTAATCAAACTTAATGCATATAATTAACAATTTCTGTTCAAAGGAAAATAACTCAATCACAAAAAAGACCCCAGGGGACTCAACTTTTATTTCATTTGATTTGTTTTTTTTGTAATATACAAGAAGAAAAATGGTTTCAGGGTGGAGATCTTGACTGTTTACAAGTTTTCAAAAAAAGAGGGTGGGGGTTACCCCAGTGGACTCACCTTTTATTTCATTTGATTTGTTTTATTGTCCCATAAAAGATTACATATGGTTTAGGGGTGGGGATTTCAACCGTTTACAAGTTTTCAAAAAGTAGGGGGTGGGGTTTACCCTCATGGACTTCCCCTAAATTTCATTTGATTTGTTTAATTGTCCCATACAAGAATATATATGGTTTAGGGGTGGGGATCTCAACTGTTTACAATTTCTCAAGCAGAAGGGGGTGGGAGTTAACCCAATGGACTTCCCCTATATTTCATTTGATTTGTTTTATTGTCCCATTCAAGAATATATATGGTTTAGGGGTGGGGATCTCAAAAAGAAGGGGGGTGGGGTGACCCCTATGGACTTCCCCTATATTTCATTTGATTTGTTTTATTGCATACAAGAATATATATGGTTTAGGGGTGGGGATCTCCACCGTTTACAAGTGCTTAAACAGGAGGAGGTGGGGGTGACCCCAGGGGACTCACCTTGTATTCCATTTGATTTGTTTTATTGTCCCATACAAGAATATATATGGTTTCAGGGTGGAGATTTTGACCGTTTACAAGTTTTCAAAAAAAGGGGGGTGTGGTGACCCCAGGGGACTCCCCCTCAATGATATTTGATTTGTTTTATTATCCCATTCAAGAATATATATGGTTTAGCAGTGGGGATCTCGACTTAACCATGAACCAGTAACAAAACACCAAAATAATTCTCTAAAATTAAATATGACTTAACCACTCATAAATCTCTAAAATTAGATATGATTTTATATCTATCAATTAAACAAATCACTTTTCAAAACAAATAACTCAAACTTATTTCCATAAACCAGTAAAAAACAAGCAAAATACTTCTCTAAAATCAGATATGATATATCTATTTCCATATTATAATCAAATTTAATCAATAGTTGCTAATATTGTTTCTTTCATGTGTCAAAAAATAATACAGATCTGCAACTTATCTATCAATGTCAAAAACTTTATCTCATAATAAAAATAGATTATTATCTAATTAAAAACAAGTTTAGATTCTGCACTTAAAGAACCCTCTATATATTTGATTTATGTTCAAATATAACACACACAAACTGATTAATTTTTCCAGGGGACCTGCACTTTGTTTCATATGATTTTTTTGTCCCATACAAGGATATATATGGTTTAGGGGGCGGGGATCTCGACCATTTACAAGTTCTTAAACAGGAAGAAGATGGGAATGACCCCAAGGAACTCACCTTTTATTTCATTTCATTTGTTTTACTGTAACATACAAGAATATATATGGTTTCGCGGTGGGGATCTTGACCGTTTACAAGTTTTCAAAAAAAAAGGAGAGTAGGTGTTACCCCAGGGGACTTCCCCTAAATTTAATTTGCTTTATTTTATTGTCCCATACAAGAATATATATGGTTTAGGGGTGGGGATCTCAACCATTTACAAGTTTTCAAAAAGAAGGGGGTAGGGTTTTCCCCCCTGGACTTCCCCTATATTTCATTTGATTTGATATCTTGTCCCATACAAGAATATATATGGTTTCTGGGTGGGAATCTTGACCGTTTACAAGTTATCAAAACAAGGGGGTAAGGGTTACCCCAACGGACTTCCCCTATAATTCATTTGATTAGTTTTATTGTCCAATACAAGAATATATAGGGTTTAGGGGTGGGGATCCCGACCGTTTACAAGTTCTTAAACAGAAAGAAGGTATGATGTCCCCAGGGGACTTGACTTTTATTTCAATTGATTTGTTTTATTGTAACATACAAGAATATATATGGTTTAGGGGTGGGGATATCAACCGTTTACAAGTTTTAAAAAGAAGGGGTTTGGATTTACCCCCGTGGACTTCATTTATATTTCATTTGATTTGATATATTGTCCCAAACAAGAATATATATGGTTTCAGGGTGGGAACTTGACCGTTTACAAGCTATCAAAAAGAAGGGGGTGGGGGTTATCCCAATGGACTTCCCCTATATTACATTTGATTTGTTTTATTGTCCCATACAAGAATATATATGGTTTAGGGGTGGGGATCTCAACCATTTACAAGTTCTTAAACAGGAAAAAGGTGGGGGTGACCCCAGAGGACTCAACTTTTATTTCATTTGATTTGTTTTGTTATATACAAGAAGAAAAATGGTTTCAGGGGTGGGGATCTTGACTGTTTACAAGTTTTCAAAAAAAAGGGGTTGGGGGTTACCCCAGGGGACATCCCCTAAATTTCATTTTATTTGTTTGATTGTCCCAAAAAAGATTATATATGGTTTAGGGGTGGGGATCTCAACCATTTACAAGTTTTCAAAAAGAAGGGGGTGGGGTTTACCCTCGTGGACTTCCCCTAAACTTTATTTGATTTGCTATATTGTCAAATACAAGAATAAATATGGTTTAGGGGTGGGGATCTCAACCGTTTACAATTTCTCAAACAGAAGGGGGTGGGGGGTTACCACAATGGACTTCCCCTATATTTCATTTGATCCTTTTATTGTCCCATACAAAAATATATATGGTTTAGGGGTGGGGATCTCGGCCATTTACAAGTTCTCAAACAGACACGCTGGGGGTGACCCCAGGGGACTCACCTTTTATTTCATTTGATTTGCAACATACAAGAATATATATGGTTTCAGGGTGGGGAGCTTGCACATTTACAAGTTTTCGAAAAAAGGAGGGTAGATGTGAACCCGAGGACTATCCTTATATTTCATTTGATTTGTTTTATTGTCCCATACAAGAATATATATGGTTTAGGAGTAGGGATCTCGACCCTAATAAGCACATTATCAAATTGAAGGGGGGTAGGGGTAAGAATATATATGATTAACGGACACTTAATTATCTACAAAATGTCTAATAATGAACAGTAAATTCCAAACTTCATTTATACAGTAATACTAGTAAGTTTCAAACTTTATATATACACTCCTACAGATCTTATCAGAAAACAGAAAATTTTTAAATAAATCTGTCACTCCAATGATTATCATATGCTAAAATATTTCCAAAATCTAATTAATAATGAAAATAAATCATTATCATATGCTAAAATATTTCTTATATCTAATTGAACAGAACTATGGTTGTTTAACATAGTACTCTAACATAATTAATAATGTAATAATCTTCAAAATGTCTAATGATATAGCTTATAATCATTACCACTTAGGAAATAGATAATTTTCAAATAAATCTGTCATTCCAATTTTTATTCTGAGATAAGACAAATCATAACATGATAACAAGAGTAAAATATTTAAAAATTCTACTTTTGGATATTAAAAATGGTGATAACTCACAAAGGAGATATACTAAAATCTTGAAAATTTATACAGACCTTCATTAAATCCCAGGAAACAACATATTTAAATTTGAAAAAAATTTGTTAAAGCATTTTCTTGTTATTCTGCTGACAAGCTGTTTGGCAGCTGCCAGTAGATCCGCCCATCCGCCCACCGTATGTCACCATTTTAATAACTAATATTTCCTTCGAAAATCCGGTTAAAAATGTATTAATAACTATATAGGAATATTGAACGAGTTTTTTATACACAGATTTACCCAAGAAGATTAACGTTTATATTTATATGTCTTCGATGTTATTTTTCAGAAATAGATGTGTTTCAGAGTGTGTGCTTGTGTATTTTTGTGTGAATTTGTGTCTGGAAAGAACCTTTATTTTATCACACTACACATCAAATTATAACAGGTTATTTCTTTAATTTCTTTCAAATAACTTTCACCCATCAAGTTTAATGAAACCCTTTAAAATCCACTTTACAATATAATCTTGAAAAGTCTTACACTGTTTAAAAAATAGAACTGCTGAGAAAAGAAAAAAAAATTGTAAGTTATTGAATGTATCAAAAAATTATCACAAGAAAAAGCAGACATGAAAGGTGCATGTTGTATTTGCATTTATTTTGGTGTTTTAGTTTACAAGAAACAACAAAATAGATAAAGAAACATGTTTAAAATATATTACTTTCAACAGGCAAAGCATAAGAAATTAATTCTGAAATTACTTTAAGCTTTTTAATTTAAAATTTCCTTGTATTTAAGTTTGAACATTTTGTATAATGTAGGGGAGATAAATCCTATTTCTTATTTAGTAAAATTTCATCATTGTGCACAATACTAACTTCCCTTAACAAGCTATTGCAAACCAACCAATTTTCACAATCTTTATTTTTATGCAATTTTCAGAAGCACAAAAATATTTTTATATAAATCATTTTAAATTTTCTAAACATGGCAATTTTCTTATACATATACAACAAGAAATTGAGAAAATAATTGCCGCAAAATCAGCTAAAAATTATTGAACATCAAAACTGTGTCTGCAAAGTAAGTTGGTTTACAGTAATTTGTCATAGATCATTCCCTAGAATAAGAATTAGTTTGAAAAATTTAACTGTTTGTACCTTTTCAAATATGTTAATAAAAAGACCAAAATACTAAACAACAATGCAAATAAGTGTGTAGCTGTGTACATCTACACTGTACAACACAATTCAGTTACTTGCAGCCACTTGTTCTGGTTGAATCCAAATGCACGTCAACTAGTACCTTGAAAATCTACTTGTACTCTCAACCCAATTTCAAGTACATAAAGGAGATGAGATTTCCCCCAATATGTATATCTAATTACCCATAAGTATCATTGCGACAGTATGAACTTTGTCCTCTTTTCTAAGTAATACCTGCATCATATTAGAGCATGTCAGTTAATGTGATAGTTATTAAACCATTGGTTTATTCTGGAACAATATAGTTTCTTCCCTGAACAAAACTGACAATCAGGATGATTTATGAATGAAAAAGTAGACATTCAACATATCAACAAATATTAATGCATACTTACAGAAAACAAAGAATTTAACCCCCATATCACATCTTTTAATCGTCTTGTAGGAGCCCAACCTGAAAAAAAGTAATAGGAATATCCATATTAAAATATACATATAACAATCAACATGGTACAATACAATTTTGTGTTAAGTTAGTTGCATTTGTATATATATATATCTATCTACTGTAATGAAAGTCTTCAAAATTACCACAGGAGAATAAGATTAATGACTTTTGAAAGTGAACAGATGAATGGCATTTGAAGGAGAACAGATTAATTGCTTTTGACATACATGTACATGTCTGGAAATCTGTTATCTGTGAACATTAATGGCTTTCAACATGTCTGAAAATCTATTCTCTCTGAATGTACCTTTTAAAAATGATTTGTATCAATTGACAGTATTATTTCAAAACTGTTACATAAGTGACTGCTTACAGAATTAAAAAACAAAGTGTAACTGGTAGTACTGCTATATTGTATAAATCATTATTGAAATCAAAATTAATTTTGAACACTCGTATATATATGATATACAATATTAATGTATATTCAAAATTGTTCGTGTCTTGTTGGCAAAACCATTTTCATAGATGATAATTTATATATTTGTTAAAAAGTACAATGTATGTATCCTTTTTTCAAACTCTATAAAAAACTGGACAAGAAAATGTTTCCTTAACATACATACAGTTGTTGCTATCATTAAAGTTGACAAAGGCATTGCTAGTGATTTCTTTAAAGTTTAAACTTTTGCTCCAGTTGAAAACCTCATTTTGACTTTGAGATGAAGAATAGCAATCAAAGTGATGTTCCTTTGCAAATGTCTCTTGATGTGTGTAAGTAAGGATTTTGTGTAATGAGTGAGTACCAAATGAGTTACAACACAATTGGGTGCAATTTTTTCAGGAATTCCATTGAAGAAAATGAAATAATCAAATTGAAAAAACTTACATCTTATTATTTTTCAAACCTGTCCATGTTGATTGATTAAAGTTTAGTGTCATTTAATTTTCTTGACCTTAATATATACATATATGCATTCAAATTGATGTATTCTGTTTTTAATCTACATATATACCGGTAATAAAACAGTTAATTTAAAGTGTAGAAGGTCCAGTAACAACAACACTTTAAGGAATGCTCCAGTAATTTATTAAGATCAACATGTTTCGGTGGCTAGGCTCATCACCGAAACATGTCGATCTCAATAAATTACTGGAGCATTCCTTAAAGTGTTGTTGTTACTGGACCTTTTACTTTTTATGTTTTTATCGTAACGACCCTGCATACCCGAGGTATCCACTTTATGGAATCTACTGACAGAAGATTTACCAGGTGTTGGTTCACTTGTGTTTAAATAGTTAATTTAAAGTTTCACTTTCTGTTGCAAAGCTTAATAAAAGCCTATGCAGCTGGTTTTTTCTTTAATGGCTATAAGAATAATATTATAATGTGTTATTACTTTTAATTTGACCTCAAGTGTTTTTACAGAAATTTATTGCAAAACTCCTATGATTAGATGGGTAATTGTCAATGTGATAACCCCAAAACAAAAGTATACAGCAAAAGTTTATAATATTTTCATCAAAGATAGACAACTGGCAATACCATATATTGTAATCTATAAATCCCTCTTAAATACCATTTTATTTAATATGTGCTGCATCAGATAGAAATTGACCTTATGCAAGTGCAAGTATACATGTAAATGTATAAGATTTTGATTTGATTTTTGGAACATTCAAATACAAAATAAAAGATGAATTTTGTTTCATTTTGTAGGGTTCTTAAACAACTCAATTTTCAAACAGTTACAGACTTTCTGTAGAGATTTTTTCAACCCAGAAAAGTTTAACAGATGTATTGATATTCAATTGAATAAGGTCGATTTCTATCCAATGCAGTTCATATCTTTTTGTTTCAAAAAAGAATGACAAGAATGGAAAACCAGTTCAATAAGAGACCATCACTTTAATAATACATATAATAAAAGATAACCAGAAGTATCGCTTTTTTCTTAAATTTTGTTCTGATCCATTTTTGTTTCTTTTTAAGGCATGACATACATGTATCATGTTGACCCTATCTTATCTTACGTAAGAACTTCAACCTTACCTAAACTGTCATAAGAACTTTGGCGTAATAAACTAAGACAGACCTCTCCTTCTTCATCTATATTTGGATGCCATATTCTGGTTTGGCATGTTACAACAGGAGGCTGTAACACAAAATCAAAGTTTAATTGTCATTACCTTTCATACAAAACATGTGGGCCTCAATGGCTGAGTGGTTAATTAAAGTAGTTCACCTAGTGACCACTAGCCTTTCAATACTTAGGTTGCGAGTTCGAACCCCTCTCGTAGCAAGGGGCATTAGACTCAAATTAGAATTGACTAGGATTGCAAGTTTAACTGTAAAAGGTTTGTGGTTCTCTCCAGGTACTCTAGATTCTGCCCCTTATAAAAATATAATGCCATGATATAACTAAGAGTGTTCTCAGCGGTCTTAGACACCAAAAGTCAATCATTTATTCAAATTGACCAGTATAATATATTTTTGTTGCTACCACTGGATCTGTACCTCTGCTGGTGAAATATATGTGATATATGCATAGTTGACAGTGATACTGTACTGGAAACATTTCAATGATTCATCTTGATTGTAAATTTTTAGCCTATAAACTATTCAATCTATTTCATGTATTTGACACATTATCCATAAATCTATTTGTTCATTTAAATTGCCTTTGTAACCTCGATTCTAAATGAGCAAAATAATTATTGGACAAATAACCTTCATGGTCAATCTTATTTACTCAGTGTACTTAAGCTTACCAATATATTATATTCGTCAGGTATATTTATCGTAAATTTAAATCTTCCTCCATGCCAGAATCCATCTTCAGGTGTGATTATCAAAGAAAATTTATGAAGAGTATTAGGATCCTCAAAGTTTACTTTACAAGTCTTAGGTAAATGTTCCTCCATTTCTTGAACCTCTGTTAATAGAAAGAAAACCTCATGATATAAAAATACTTTTACAGATACAAAGCATATATAAAATTACTGTTACAGATACCAAGCATACATAAAAGTTACAGTACATGTCTTCTGTCCCAAAAGTAAATTACACTTGGTATCCATAAGACTACAACCAACACAGAGAAGAAATGGAACAAAGTCCAAGAGTTATCTACCCTGATCATGAAGTCTGAGAACACACCTGAGGGTTCACCACGACAAACACCACTTGACAATGATACTACTGTATAGTCACTGACAGAAGATTTTAGTGTATTCTACAGAGACTGTTAAATTGTTTTCATTTCATTGTTAATTGTTACCATAGCATTGTAATCTAGTGCTTTGTAGTGTGAATTGTTAATTATTTGACATCATTGGTATCTTATATAAAGAAAATTATTAAAATCTAAAATTTTTATTATTCTGTGACAAGTAACTTAGTAAGATGTATAATGATGCTGTCAAAGTAAAATATCCATATCTTAAAGACTGATAACAGATAAGAAAGTGTTTACTTAATTAAGAAACTCCATTAATAAAATAAATTTCCTTAGTAAACTTTTGCTGTATTCAATTAACTTAAGAAACATTATGTTATTTGTTAATTGTAATGAAAAATAATAGATAATATAATGTTCATAGTGGAGCAAACAACTCAGTTCAAATCCTTATTTCACATATGATAGTCAACATTATTTTTAAAATTACATTTTTTTAAATATTTTGTGATGCATGGCTCTAAACACTACAGGTTTTGAAATAGACAGCTACATTGTGAATATTATAATTGCCTTTTATCATGTTTATAGCTGACTTATGAGAACATTGTTAAGTTAATAATTGACTTATATAGACAACTATACGGTATCGGTTTTTCTCATTGTTGAAGGCCCTACTGTCACCTATAATTGCTTATATTCACTTCATTTGATAGTTGTCACATTGGCAATAATACTGTATCTCCTTCATTTTATAATTTTATTAAATATCTTTCCCATGGATAAACAGGCTATATGTTTTTGGTCCTAAAAAGCCATAGAAATTGGCCTACAGGTTTGAATGGATTTTGGTGAAAAATTGATTTGATGCGTAATTTGACTTCCTAAAAAGAATGAGGATATGTAAATCAAAAATAGGAAGACTTATTCAATCATTAATAGTGACAGTGGGTAGTCATTGTTTTAACTATGATAAATTTTCATAAATCATAATCATAATGTATATGACCATGATGACTGTTAATGAAATTTTACCAAGAAATAGAGGCTATGAAATTGGGGCCTTATGGAACCTTCTCGTTTACCTTTCACTAACAGTTTATCTCTGATAGATATTCTTTTATTTTCTTCATTTTCTTTCTTTCCTGTGGAACTCTGTTGTTTTAATTTTTTTGACAGTGTAATCATATTCTGTAGTGTCTGAAATTATAAAATACTATGTACATCTTCTTATTTGACATGTCAAATAAATTGAAAAACAATTATAAAAACTTGTTTAATGGAATTGATTAAACAATAGAAGGTATAGAGGATAAATGTACAAAATTACAAATATACATAAAATTGAATTGTCAAAGAGACAACAACCGGACCAAAGAGCAGAAAACAGCTCAAGGCCACCAATGGGTCTGCAACACAGTGAGAAAATCGTGCACCCAGAGGCGGGCTTCAGCTGGCCCCTAAACAAAAATATCTACTAGTTCCGTGAAAATGGACGTCACACTAAACTCCTAAACATATAAATGAAACTAAAATTAAAAAACATACAAGACTAACAACGGCCAGAGGCTCCTGACTTGGGACAAAAATGCGGCAGGTTTAAACATGTTTTGTGAGATCTCAACCCTCCCCTATACCTCTAGCCAATGTAGATTAAACAAACACACAGCAATACGCACAGTAAAACTTAGTTTAAAAGAAGTCTGAGTCCGATGTCTGAATAGGTAACAGAAGAAACTAAAAAATATGACAATGATATATAAAATACATGTATAACAAATTAAGCACAAGTAAAATCAGCATGTCATACATTTCATAAAAATAAGTATATGTAACAATCCAATTAAGGATACTGGTTATTTGTGAAATTATTATCTTTCATCTATGAAGGTATAATTTATCTACAAGCATGTGTTATCATGGTTGTGCATAACAAAATCATGATCATATGTACAAATGTACCATCCCACTACCATGACTACTGCTGCACAATAAAAACTAAACAGTTGTATTCATCTGGTAGTCATTGCTTTATTATTGGCCTGATAAATATGGTACATTATAGAATAAAAGTTTTTTCATAACCTAAACAGTTTGTACTGGGTTGATTTTAACATCAAGAGCGATAAAGTGAGGTATCGCTTTAATTTATAGTCAGCAAAAAGGTCCAATTGTCAATTGAAGTTGCAGGTAAGTGATAATTTCTATGAAAAATTCCATATAAACATGATAAAGAAAACTTTGAAGGGTACTTAATGACAACTTCTTTGTCTGTATGCCCTTATACACCAGCTTACATTAGGTTGATTTTGAACAATGCAGACATGTACAACTGTCTTTGACAGCCTCTCAACATGCTCAATTTTCTTAACTACAATGCCTGTATCACTAGCCTGTCAACACTGAGGTTGTGAGTTCAAATTCCGCATGTGGCAGGTGCGCTCAACTGCAAACTTAATTGACTAGAATTGTTTGTTTTCCTATCAAATTTCGGTGACTCTCTCTGGCTTCCTCCACCAAAAAAACTGACTGCCACAAAATAGCACAATAATGCTGAAAGTGGTGTTAAACAACGATCAATCAATCAATTTATCACATAGTTAAATGCTATTTTTTTACAACACTCTGACATGTCTGAAGGGAGTATATATTGTAAATTATATGTTATATGGGTCAATTTGGATCATACCACTAACTGTAAGACAAACCTTCAAAAACATGGCAGTGTTTTCAGGTTTTTCATTTTTATGCAGTTGCAGACTAAACTTATATTTATACTGTTAAAAATTAAATTTGAGATTTCCTTGTTTTAAGCAGTCAGGGGACTTACTTATATGAGTGATTTTCTAAATCACTGATTCAAGTAACGTTATGTCCATAAAGGTTGGAAGTAAGAGTTGTCTTCCTTTAATAATCACCTATTTAAGTAGTACAAATTAATCACTAGAGTAAGTGATTTAATTTTATTGTAGCTTTAAATATAGAATACTAATGATCCAGGGACCAACATCTGTGTTGATAGGATGACCGGGTCATGTCAGGTTTAAGTATCATACCTCAATTTCCTTCCAAAAAATCACTGCTTTGAGTATCATTATTTTAATAACCCCCACTAATTTCAACACCCCCGAACAGTGAATTTTTTATCGCGAACAGTCGAATTTTATTACATAATCTATAAGATGAAACCTTGAAATTTACAGGAAAAATACTCCTACTGCTGGGAAAAATCTCAAGAAAGTATCAGTTCATTAATGCAAAGCCATTTTATAGCATTTTTTCAACTAAAATAGAATTTGCAGCTATATAATTGCATCAAAGGCATAAACCTTGCTGCTTATAAGGTGGCTCGGGCCTATTCGAAGTTTCTGTCAGAAGTGCCGTATTTTTTGTTATTTTAATCTTTACAGAGAGTGAATCGAATTGTTCGAAAAAAAATAGGGGGTCCCGGACCATTTAAGCTCAAAATATTACTCTAAAAGAGGTATGTAAAAGGGACCGTTTTTTCAATGAAATGATAGGGAAAAAAGAGGTGTTGACATATTTTTATCGGAATATCAAAAAAACGTTCTGTGATACTTGGTCCAAAACTGTAATATAAAAAGCTGAAATATAGCTTGAAAGAATGAGCAAATAAAAAACATAGGTCACCGATAAGGAAAAAAAAATATTTTGCCTTAAAACCCAAAATTTGGCGGGAAAATGGTGCAATTGGGTGAAATATCATTTTGAGTCTTTCACAGATAATAATTTTTGAGTGACAAAAGTACAATGATTTAATATTTTTAATCAATCAAAATATTAAAAAAAATGATAGTGAATTTACGACACGAACTTTTCGTGTGCATGGTAATTCATGCGTGACATTATGCCCAGTCAAATAGTCCCGATCCACCTTAAAAGAAGCAAAAAGTTCATTTTTTTCAATTTTACTAATGAAAAGATATTATCTAAATTAAACCTATATATGTGTTTAAAATTTTGGTAAAACTACAAAATCACAATTTGTGACAAAACTTTGAATTTGCTACTTAAATAAGCGATTTAAAAATCACTTATTTCAATAAGTCTCCTGACTGATTATTGCTTTGATTGGCATGTGTCTGTGTTCTTGCTTGTCTGATGTTATTTTGTAACATGTATGTTTGAACTTTTAGTATGTCCGTTTTAATTGTATGCTTTTTACCGACTTTAAATAAATTTTAATTGTATGCTTTTTACCGACTTTAAATAAATTTGATTTGATTTGGTTCGTTCTTATAGGGATTTGTGAATTCGTTATAAAAGAGCATACGACTTCCCACACATTTGTATCAAATACGCAAATGAATTCCTACAACAGAAAGTATGATGATAAATAAAACAATCATACAGCAATTAAATTAGGAGTAGGATCAACAGGAAACACATGTCTCATATTATTTTATACATCTTATTGTGGATACCTTAGTAAATTTATTTATTATATAGATTGTTTGTAAATTGTAAGGGGAACCTTCTGACTCACTGATCTTTTGAAGTTTTATCAAACTGTTAATGTAAATATATTAATTCCTTAGTTTACAATTCCCTATTTATAACTTATAAGGACTCGATTTCGTACAATTTCGACAGTTCTGTGAGTTTCTTCGTTGTAAACAGATTTTTGTCTGAAAGGTCCATGAACCGGAAGTTTACACTCTGAAAAAAAAAATTGCTTACAGCAATAAAAAATAAAACACTACATAATTGTAGAAATATAAAACAAGATATATATTTAAATCATTGCTAAAAACAGAAAAAGTTCAAACATCTTGTGTTTAAACGTGTTTGATCTGTTATTGATATTTAATATCATGGACCATTTTTAGGGATATAAGGAACGCACTTAAAATGGAATGGCCCTGGCAGTACAATTTCCCACCCTTCTTCACGTAATAACACACTTGTAACTTGTTGAACCCATTTAAATTGAGGTTGCATTCTTTTTTGATGATTCGAATGTGCCTACATTATATTTTATATTGAATGTCACAAACAATTGTCAATGTTCATGATGTTGTCAAACGCTGTTTAACACTCAGTGAGTAGTACTGTACAGGCTACAGCTGCACAGGACAGGGGTTTGTTACAATTTGCCAGGTTTACTATCCATACGTACCCCCAAAAAAATCACGATACATGAGGGTAAGAATGGGGTACCCCACATTACATTTGTTAAAATAACGTTAACGATAAACATTTTACTCCATGTGGACGCTTATCATGCTAAGGGTAGCTACAAAATGAAATTTGACAAATGACTATAAAAAATTAAGGCTGATTTGATGCTAACGGTAGTGAAAAAACAGATGTTTGACGCTTGACGATAAAGGGCATTCCTACCCTATACATTTCCATAATTATTGTGCTCATAAGAAGTGCATTCAACACAATAAGAAGAAACATTTCTTAGACACCAGATACCAATAAAATGCTGAAACTAGATTTACTCTCCCAATGAAATATCTAAAGCCTGAACTTTCTCATTCATTTGTCATGTTTGAGTGTGACGGGATTGCTTCACTTCAAAAGTCGACACTTAGCCAGTCATCATTGGTTGTGCTTGCAAAAATACTTCCTTACCTCAGTCGGTTAGAGGGCCTAATGTAACACGGTCCGAGGCGGAACCTATGGGATTTTCTAAAATGAATTACTCTCCGGTAACATTTGGTGCCCAACTAAAAAACCCACGGTGGTAAGAGAAGATATCTAGCCGGGTCATAGCTGTCAACTGACCCGTATTCTGCGGATCACACCAGAGAATTTCCTGCTTCACACAGGATTTTTTAAATACCCGCCGGGTATTCAAATAACCCGTGATTTCATAAAATGACCCTGTTTTCACCCGTATTTCTGACCAGTATTGCTTCTGGTGTTTAGAAGTCAATTTGACAAATATACTTTCGGTTTTCTCGGAGTTTTTCCTTTGAAAAGGTAAACAATTGAAAAGTCAAAACTTAGAATTTACTTATTTACCGTGCCAATGACAGCTACCAAAACATTACATGTGATTGAAAAGTAACAATTCGAGGATTGTTAATTGTAACCCAGAAAGTTGAAGCCATTCAAGCTTGACATACAATTCTATGTCCTGAGGCTGATTTAAAGATTTGCCGTTTGCAAATATCAAATATCCTGTAAAAATCATTATAAAACAATTTGAACCTTTTAATACATTACTGTTGGAGAGAATAATTTTGTTATCACTTAAATGTTAAAAGCTTTAAATCCATATGCTCTAGATATTACACTGAACAGGAAAAGGAAACCCACTAACTGTTACTTCTTTCTATTTATCTTCCTGTGTACATGGTGTATAGTAGCACATTAGCCATAATTGATTTCTAATTACATGTATAGCTTGGGTTTATGACATTCATTAATAAAAAGAAGTAAACTAGTGTGAATAAAACAATAAGAGGGCATTGCTTTAGAAAGATATTTAATTACTGGGTAATGATAAATATTCATATACTTAACAAATACAAAAGTTATTATTTTTAGGAAACTCAGTGGTACATGTACATGATATATATGTTATAGTGTATAAAAAAAAATCTCAATACATGAACTAAACTTGGACCGAAAACGTTCGTATGCGTTATGACCTGACATTTTCTTCTTCAATGCAGGTCATGACCTGCATTTTCAGTTTTAGAGGTTGACAGGTATGAGCCAGGTGTTTTGTGAGAGTCAAAGTGATATGATGACTCTTGAACAGGGGGAAGTGTAACAGGATTGCTTCCCTTGAATAGTAAATTAATACTTAGCCAACTGTAACCAGTTGAGCTAGCGAAGTACTTCTTTAGCTCAGTCTGATAGAGCCCTTACTTGTAACATAGAGATCTTGGGTTCAAGTCAGAGAGGAGACAATGTGCTCTCTGGTTACAGTGTTTTTCAATTAAGGAATTAAAAATTGTCTAATTTCAGTCAGCCAGAATAATGACCATGGATGTACTATTCATTGGCAAGAGCAAAATGCAAAATGCTTAAAAACTATACACATGCTATAGGAAAATCCTTGTCTACCTGGCACCTGGAACCCTTTATCAATGTATCATTGAATTTCATTTATACTTACACGTTACAATGATGACAATGTATGTTATAGAAAATTTAGTCACAACTGTTTGAAGAATCAATTTTTCAAGTCGTGATGTAATTATGATGCATAAATGTGCTTTTATTTTTAAAATGACTGCCTGTCTCAAGAGAATGTGTCCACTACATAACAGAGTAGAAGTATGTTATCAATAAAATCATCCCTGTATTGAGTAGATCTGTACATGCTGTACCAGGTTACTAACCACTATCACTACAACCTTTCAAAATATGTAGCACTATGGGAAAAGTTATTGAAGATTGCATTTTATAGGCCTTGATTACACTATATTTTTGCAACTCATGCACTGTGTAATGTGCAAAACCCACAAATTTATGTACACACAGTAGCTATGAAAGCTAAAGGAGTCTAAATACCAACATTGCAATTCTTAAATTGTAAGTATGTAACTCCATTTATTTGAAATTCCAACTTTTCCAAAACTATTCCATTTAAAAGGTGTTTGAGGCAGTCTGCACCGTTAGCCACTAGTTCGATGTCCCAGACTAGTAAAATTTAATTCAGACTGGTAAGTTTTTTGCAAAGCTTTGTTTAAAGATGTATAAGAAAAATGTTGGAATACTGGTCTTTTGACCTAAGTAGTAAGAAAAGATTTTGGTGCAGACTGCTAAGGGTAGAAAGGGACTTCCGAAATCCCCCCACATCCTACATACTTTGAATGATTTTGCATTCATCAGACATGTCAGATGGCATACAACCTTAAATGATCTACAACCAATATCCAAAAATCAAAACTCCATTTAATATTGTGGAATAGCGCTCAGAATAGAAAATAACGCATACATTTAATACCACAGTTTTATAAAAAAAATATAATGTCCAAATTGATCAAAAGTGATCAAAGAACAAAAAAATTAAAAGGTGTATGCACAGTTCACACATAGGGCTTCAGTAAAAATCACTATTGTAGTTGAATTTTCACAAAGAATGTTTGTGATTCACTCTAGAATATATATGTCTCTCAGTTAAAGTATACAGAATTTATATATACTATTTAAGACAACTGACATGGTCTTGAAACAGTGTAAACTTCATGTTAATCACCAGAAATCACTAGAAACACAAGAAACCTCCTGTATCACCAGAAATCACTAGAAACCTCCTGTTAATCACTAGAAATCACTAGAAACCTCCTGTTTATCACCAGAAATCACTAGAAACCTCCTGTTAATCACCAGAAATCACAAGAAACCTCTTGTTAATCACCAGAAATCACTAGAAACCTCCTGTTAATCACCAGAAATCACTAGAAACATGAGAAACCTCCTGTTAATCACCAGAAATCACCAGAAACCTCCTGTTAATCACCAGAAATCACCAGAAACCTCTTGTTAATCACCAGAAATCACTAGAAACCTCTTGTTAATCACCAGAAATCACTAGAAACCTCCTGTTAATCACCAGAAATCACCAGAAACCTCCTGGTAATCACCAGAAATCACCAGAAGCCTCCTGTTAATCACCAGAAATCACTAGAAACCTCCTGTATAACCAGAAATCACTAGAAACACAAGAAACCTCCTAAACTTTTGTTTAAATGAATAAAATAAACAGAAATGATAGAGGTACTGTCATGGAGAAATTGTATGTCAAAACATGAATCTGTTATTTTTCACAAATTTATTTTCTTCACTGCAGGATTCAACCTAATTCAGATACGAGAAAGAAACAATTGGAAGCTTGGTGTTCACTGATTCTCAACTACCACAAACAGAAAAAGTCCTACAGCATAGATGTTACAGAGATACTCAACTCTCAACTGTGTCATAACAAAGAGATAGATAGTATCCTTTTGAAGTGTAAAATACATGAAATAATTTTACATTGTTCACTCAATATTACTGTGGGTTCATTTATTTTCGTGGGTACCAATTTTCCTGTATTGAGGGAAAATTGTATATTCATGGATATATGATTTCGTGGTTTTACTCTGCTTACACACCTTTAGATAATTTGTATTATGTTGAACATCTAAATTCGTGGTTTACCCATACCAATAAAATCCTCCACCAAAGTTGGTATCCCACAAATATTGATGAAACCACAGTACACACAAGTAGATATAAGAAGATGTGGTATGAGTGCCAATGAGACAACTCTCCATCCAAGTCAAAATTTATAGAAGTAAACCATTATAGGTCACAGTACGGTCTTCAACACGGAGCCTTGGCTCACACCGAACAGTAAGCTATAAAGGGCCCCCAAAATTACTAGTGTAAAACCATTCAAATGGGAAAACCAACGGTCTAATCTATATAAAAACGAGAAACACATCAACAAACGACAACTACTGAACATCAGATTCCATGCAAGGTATTTCAATTTAATACTTTTTGGTGGTAAATTTTCAGTGTATACGGGTTATTATTGATTGATAATTCACTCTGAAACATCATTCTGTATATATTCCAGTTTTCTACCAATACATTTCATACAATATCCTCGTATACAATGGTATACTCAAACTGTGAATTTTTAAATATAATTTTTTTTTCAAGAAATTATAGCATCACTTCCATATTTCATGTATTTATTGGTACACATTAAACAAATAAGAAGACATGAAGACTTGTTCAAATATGATTTCGTTTCTTCTATAATTATACCCCACGCAACGAGTTGCGGAGGGTATAATGTTTTTGACGCGTCCGTCCCTCTGTCCGTCTGTCCGTCCGTCTGTCCGTCCGTCCGTCTGGCTGTCCATCCTTCAGTCCGTCAGTCCTGTTTCTTGTCATCGCAACTCCTCTCAAACCACACAACAGAATTTCACGAAATCTTTTAAGATAATAAGGACATACTATGTAGTTGTGCATATCGACAGGAATTTACGATTCAATTTTTTTTCCAGGAGTTACGCCCCTTTGAACTTATTTGCCCAATATTCTACTGCAACAGTTTGTCATCGCAACTCCTCTCAAACCACACAACAGAATTTCATGAAACCTTTTCAGATAATAAGGACATACTACGTAGATGTCCATATCGACAGGAAATTACTATTCAATTTTTTTTCAGGAGTTACGCCCCTTTGAACTTATTTGCCCAATATACTACTGCAACCTTTTGTCATCGCAACTCCTCTCAAACCACACAACAGAATTTCACGAAATCTTTTTAGATAATAAGGACATACTATGTAGATACGCATATCGACAGGAAATTACGATTCAATTTTTTTTCTAGGAGTTACGCCCCTTTGAACTTATTTACTTTAATGTACTACTGCAACAGTTTGTCATCTCAACTCCTCTCAAACCACGCAACAGAATTTCATGAAACCTTTTCAGATAATAAGGACATACTACGTAGATGTGCATATCCACAGGAAATTACGATTCAATTTTTTTTCTAGGAGTTATGCCCCTTTGAACTTATTTGCTTCAATATACCTCTGCAACAGTTTGTCATCGCAACTCCTCTGAAACCACACAATAGAATTTCATGAAACTTTGTAGATAATAAGGACATACTAGGTAGATGTGCATATCGACAGGAAATTATGATTCAATTTTTTTTCTAGGAGTTACGCCCCTTTGAACTTATTTGTTTCAACATACCTCTGCAACAGTTTGTCATCGCAACTCCTCTGAAACCACACAACAGAATTTCATGAAACTTTGTAGATAATAAGGACATACTATGTAGATGTGCATATCGACAGGAGATTATGATTTAATTTTTTTTTCTTATACAATTTATTTTTCTTACAGTTATTTTATTTCTCCAGTGACAATGTGGGGACCTGGGGTATGTGAGCGCGCTCACTAAGGTTCTTTAATTTGTAACAGTAGTAATCATATTCTTACACATAATGTCCATGTTTGAAATTTTTGTCTCATTTTTCTCCGGAACTACAGATTGTAATCATTATTATCTTTTCATTAAACTTAAAGATTTATATCTACATCAAAAGTTAACAATTGAGCATGTACTTAGTCTATATGTTTTTACTGTAAAACAAGTAAAAGGCTAAGGTGGAAAATTATTGGAGGTGGAGGAAAAAATCTAGTATGGTGTAAATAAAATCCTGATTTATTAATAGCCACTCTTACTGTGCTATTGAGATATCTAAAAAAAAAAAGAGTGGTAATTAGAAATCATAAAACTCTTTAACTTGTTGAAGAAAGACCACAGTCTACATAACACTTCTCAATAAGCTAAAGACTGAGCAACACAAACTCCACCAATAACCTGGAAGGTTTCTCAGGTGCTCCAGAAGGTGAAACTGATCCTGCTCCACATGTAACACCTATTGTGTTGCTCAAATACATATATATGTATATTTGTCAAATGTATGTTGACCTTAATAGTTTTCAGGAAAACTTTCGTTAGATGGTTTATATACTGTGTTAGATGAACTTTGTAGAACAGGTTAGTTTGATTTCAAATAAGTAAAATCAATTACCACATTTTACTGCTATTTCTTGTACATGTTGTAGGTCCTGACATTCATTTTCTTATAAACCCTTGTAAAAATGAAACTTAAGATCGTCACATATTTAATAAGCAGGAAATACAAAAAAATGTTTTAGTTTATTTTCATATTTTATTGTATTTGTCCAAAAATATGTTGACTTCCCTGACACTTATGGTGAAAAAAAACTGTATATGTAAAGAATAGCTATACAAAGTATTTTAGTTCCAAAATTAAATAACAAACTATATCAAATTTTTAATTTGAAAAAAAAGAAATTAATCCGAAATTCAAAATATGTTATATGAAGGTATAGCTATAATCATGATAATGTATATATATTTATAGTCTCTTATTGACTGTTTTAATCCAATTTTTATGTATCATTTTAATTGTTAGATACTGTGTTTGACTTAGAACAACATTTGTGTTTTAAGCTGATCACTGATAGAGTTTGCTGCTTTAATTTCCACAATTAGTACCTGTACATATGTTAGATTGAAGTTGTTTAGCATGTTTAAGATGAAAAAAATTTATTTATATCACATATACAATATATGTACATTGTTGGAAAATATGAAATTTATTTGTACACTGAAACAGGACGAAAAGCAAGGCTTATTGTTTTTATCCTGTAATTTACACCTGGAACTTTAAGATTTAGTTGTTTTAATCCAAATAGTTCTTTGATTTTTCAAAGAAATGGACAGTCTATACATGGACCACATGGAGAACCCCAAAATTAACTGTCATCCAAAAAGAAATATTCACATCACCATTTGCTCAACATGGAAGCGGAGTACAAGTACAAAAACAAGAAATATAAGTACAAATAAAGGAAAAAAAATATTTGTGTACATGTTGTGTACAATAGTTGGCTGATTGCAGGATAAAATGTTTTACATGTTGAATGCTCTTTTGAAAAATAACTGAACTGTTATTGTATATGATTATAGGGCACTTAGAATGGAAAGATCCCAAGACAAAGAAGCAATGTTTGGTAATGTGGAGAACTCCTGAGGAATGGGGAAATTTAATATATTCATGGGTAAGATGTAGTATAATTTCATTGGAATCTCCAGCAGTAAGAGTTACTGCCCTTAAAAGATTAGAATTGAAGAGGTTAAATTTTTTTTCATATTAAAAACTGAATCTGTCTAAATTTTTAGGCAAACAAATATTATTTACCTCTCAGCCACTGTAACCATGCTATAGGGTGTGATACATTTTGAATTTTGACATTCAATGCTCATCAACTTCATAATACTTATACATTCTTACACATAAAGTCCATGTATGAAATTGTGTCTCATTTATCTCAGGAACTACAAATCAAATATTCCTGATTTTTTTTTTAAATGCTTCATATGAAATTTCCTGACAGTGTGATGCATTTTAACATTCATGACCCATCAACTTCTTTTTTACAGAAAACTTGTGTATTATTACACATTATTACCATAAATTATATTTTTGTCACATTTTTCTCAGGAATTATGATATAGACCACCACAAAATTTTGTATAAATATTTTTATCAGCATGCTACAATGTATTATGGGGGATGTGTTATCACATTCATCGCTTATTTACTTCCTGTTTTCTCAGTACTTATTGTGGAAGTATCATCAGTTACCAATAGCTCACAGTTAAAATTGATTTGTTTTGTTTTACCTAAAAAGAATTTGAATGATACGGAAACTATATTTGTAAAAAAAAAATTTCAACCAACGGGTTTAAATTATAGCATTGCAATATTACATTTAAAAAACTTTTAAGTATATTTGGAAACTTAAGGAAGTACACCACTAATTCATGGCCCCATAGCTTTCTATGTTAAATTCCTCAATTTCAAGCAGGCACAGCTCTTTTGTCTTAAGTTCAAATAAAGTGACAATCATTGCATGTCAAAGCAACACCTCATGATGTATTGTACTGAAAAAATCAACATACCTTTAATGGCATATAAGAGAGAACTGGTTCCAGAAACTTCAGATGTATCAGAACAGGTACTTCAGATCTTACAAACAGGCAAAATGTACCCTCCTTTTTAAATTTCATGCAATTTTATTGTTTTTCAAAATTATAAGTCAAAAAGTGTTCAACAATGATCACCTGTCATTCAGCTTTTATTTGATACCAAAATTGCCAAAATATTCTACACATTTTGAAAGTTTTTGTGTTAAATATGTACTACTTTCTGGTATGTGCTTTCTGACCTGGCCCGAATTAGTGGTGTTACACTTAAAACTATTGTCATCACTTTATCATGTTGCTCATCATGTAAAGTGCCAATTATTATCAAACTTTTGAGGAAATGACAGAATTTACCATCCACTATGAGAATTCAGTTGATAACTAAACAAGGAAGAAAAACATACTTCTGATCACCTTTATATATATTACTGGTACTGTTAATGACTATGCCAGCAATAAGATGTAACCATCACAGTTACCAAATATAGAAAATTTGTCAAAATAGAAAAAAATTGACAAAAAAACAAAAGACCAGATTAAAAATATTTGATACATTTGTATATGAAATTATAAATGCTGATATATAAAATTGAGAATGGAAATGGGGAATGTGTCAAAGAGACAACAACCCGACCATAGAGCAGACAACAGCCAAAGGCCACCAATGGGTCTTCAATGCAGCAAGAAACTCCCGCACCCGGAGGCGTCCTTCAGCTGGCCCCTAAACACTGTATACTAGTTCAGTGATAATGGACACCATACTAAACTCCAAATTATACACAAGAAACTAAAATTAAAAATGATACAAGACTAACAAAGGCCAATGTATATTGTCAATGAAAGTTAAAAAAAATAATATAAAAAATAGTTATTTAGAAATAAATCAATTCTATTGTCTTTCAGATATTATCAAAGTCCATGACTAATACTGTATGTACTTTTTATGAATTAACTAATGGAGAGGACTCAGAAGGAACAGGTAAGTAATTGTCAATCAGTAAAATAATAAATAGTTAGTGGAATACTCAACATTGCTAAATTTCATTCTTTTTATTATTTATGCTACGTTCACACGTAATTCGAATTAGTTTAATTCGCATTTGAAACGTTTTACGTCCAAACGTAAATTCTAATTCGAATTGCAATGCGCGTCAAATTCGCTTTACTGTCCAAACAACGTTATCTTTTAATTCGTATTAACAAAAACGCATTTCTAATGGGAATAAGATCATGCGATTTAGTTAATTCGAATCAATTCGAATTAAAAACGAAGAGTGTGTGAATGCGATTAGTGAATTCGATTCGCATTCGATTCGAATTCAATTCAAATTAAATGTACGTGTGAACGAGGCATTAAATTCGTTTGCCAGTTATTTTACATTTTAAGCTCACCTAGGCATGGCCCAAACAGCTAATGTGAACTATTTTCATTTCTTGTCTCTTGTTGTCCGTAAACCTTTACAAAAATCTTCTAGCCTGAAACTACTGGGTCAATTGGAACCAATCAATCTATTTATGGGATGATTCCACCTGCCAACCAACTTGGCTATCAACTCTAAAAAAACAACATAAGGGTAAAATGCCAGTTATTGCATATTTATCTTCAAAACTGTTACAGATAAAGAAAATCTACCAGGGCAAAAATATTCACAATATGAAGATCTACCTACTGTTCTATTAGAACAAAATTTTCAGACAACTCCTTATTTAATGAATATAGAAGTTGTTGCTTTGAATGACTAATTTGTGTTCTTTTCTGCTATTTTATTTAAAGCTATAATATATAGGAAACAACTTTAAACAGCAAGATAAGATCTGCAAATAAATTAAATAAATGGCAGAAATGGTCAGTTGACTCATTACAGGAGTATTGCTCTTAAATGATTTGTTGTTGCCCATTTTTGTTTTGTTTTTTTATTATCTTGAAAAATACAAGACAGAGAGAAGCTTTTAACAGCAAAATTGATCAGCAGGTTAAGATCTGCAAATAAGACAAGTAGGAAATTATCAGTCAACTTCTTTACCATTTTTTTGCATTTTTGGCGGAAAATAAAGTAGATAAACATAAAAATTAAAAGCTATAATATATATGAAACAACTTTAAACAGCAAGATAAGATCTGCAAATAAATTAAACTAGGACACACCCGCGTGAATTTAAATTTAATTTGGTTTGCCTAAGATAGAGTTGGTTCGGTCACTGAAAACGCACATTTCTTTATGCGTAATGGATATATAAAAAAGTCATATATTATATATAGGATTAAACATTGATTTTTTATTCAGTTTGTGAGCGGACAATCCAATTAAAAAAAACCAAGCCGTTTAATCCTTATAATTCTACCTCTTGGAATAATGGAGACATCATGTTTAAAATTACACAGAATAAGTCAATTACTAATAGTTATAAATATTCTGTGTAAGGGAGCTACCATTTGATTTTATGTTTTTTTTTTGGGGGGGGGGGATGAAAAATATTTTCCTCCTATTTTTTCAGTTGTAATCTCTGTCCTGCCTTTTTATTTTTCACTCTATTCAGTCCTGCCTTTTTTCATTTTAGCCTTTGAATACTTTTTTTACATACATTGTCATCCGTCTTTTTTTTTTCTGCCAAGTTGTTCACCATGCCTTTTGTTTTACTCAAAACTCCTGTTCTGCCCATTTTATCAAATATCATTCAATATACCCCCACCCCCCATAAAATTCAAATGGTAGCTCCCTAATTTTAAACAATCCTGTCTGTCTTAAAAGTCCGTCCGATGACGGAAACATTATCCGGACGTCTTTACTTTCGTTTTTTTCTCACAAAATAACCCATATGGAATAATCAAAAGCGAGGATGACAAATGCAACTATACATGGTACCTATAGGACATAAAGGCTTGATGATTAATTCAGTGTGGAAGGAAGAGAAGCGACACACAAAATGAGGTCTTCTCATTTAATAGTATAGATAAATGGCAGAAATGGTCAGTTGACTCATTACAGGAGTTATTGCTCTTAAATGATTTTTTTTTTGCCCATTTTTGTTTTTTTATTATCTTGAAAAATACATTTGACAGAGAGAATCTTTTAACAGCAAAATTGATCAGCAGGTCAAGATCTGCAAATAAGACAAGTAGGAAATTATCAGTCAACTTTTTTTTGCATTTTTGGCGGAAAATAAAGTAGATAAACATAAAAATTAAAAAAATAGTACCTGACATTTTAAATTATTTCTTCAACAACAAATCCATAAAGATTGCAACTAAGCCTTTGCACCCAATGTGCTTCTGTAATTTTTAATGTATAATTTTTGTGTATGAACAAATAAAACAGTTAATTTTCCCCCCAATTACACAGATTGTAAGCTTGATTTTACTTCTTTTAGTTGCTCCTACATGACCATGTACCAGATTGTCCTACCACAGTGTAGGTAACCTGTTGAAAAATTTACTCCAGAGTCAAAAGTTGGTAATATGAAAAAGGACTATTTAAGTGTTTTGAAAATAATGATTTTAGTGTCTACCCTCAAGGTATAAATTTTTATTGTTTTATTGAAAAATTATGATTTTATATCACTGAAACATATAGTACATTACAGTTTAAGGACTAATATATTTTTTTTGATTGTATGTTTTTTGTTGCAGAATTTCATGGTCTTGAAAAATGGTTATTATTACGAGCTATAAAGACTTTAGAGATGCAAAGAAAAGCAGAAATAATGATGTTTGACGATAGTGAAGGTGTCAAATTCTTTTAGTGCAATCTGTGATATAGTAATTTTTATATAATTTGTATGTATAGACATTGTTGTACTATTAAAATATCTATCATATATAAATATTTTCTGTATATTGATGAGAGAGTGTCATACTCTGTGCACCTAAAAGAACCCTTGCAACAACTAAGGGATCCTCAGGTTGCCTGTTGTAAGGCAAAATTTCTGGTTATTTCCAATATACCATTGATCCCACCATTCAACCTAATAGTTTCATGTCATGAATGTAGATGATAAGCAAGCAACAGCCAATATATATATATATATATATTGACTATATGTTCTACTTTAATTATAAAAAAGAAGATGTGGTATGATTGCCAATGAGACAACTCTTCACAAGAGACCAAATGACACAGAAATTAACAACTATAGGTCACCGTACGGCCTTCAACAGTGAACAAAGCCCATACCGCATAGTCAGCTATTAAAAAGCCCCGAAATGATTTAAGTTCATTTTGCTTTTCAATGCATCTTTTAGTTGATTTGTCAGTACAACTCCATCTATGGCTTATCAGGAAAAAATCTAACAAGAAACAATATCTGTTAGTCATAAACATTTCATTTTAACTTATGATCAATTTTAATCCTATATTTTTGTGAAACAAATCAATGAAGTTTAAAATGTACAGTAACAGAAACTATCATGGATCCGCCATCAACACAAATTTCCGAAATGAAAAAAATAAAAAAATTCAAGGAACATTGATATTTTTTGTGTTAGAAGAATAAATCATATTTTTGTTGTATTTGAAAGATTTTTTGAAATTTGTGTTTTTTTTAATGCACTAGTGCTAAGTTTTTGGGGGTGTAAGGAAAATAACTCATTGTATAGTTGTATTATGGCAACGTTATATTGCTTCTGTCAAAATAGCATTTGGCCAATTTTAGTTGATTTGATATATGCAAAAGTACTGATATCTTTATCAAATATGCCTCTGTTCCTACATAAAAAAATCTTGAAGGTAATCTATTTTTCACCACTCAATAGCTTGAAAAAAGCAACAAGCATAGGTTTTATAGAAAAAAGAAAGGCTCACAATATATAAAAAAAGATGATGTGGTATGATTGCCAATGAGACAACTCTCCATAAGAGACCAAATGACACAGAAATTAACAACTATAGGTCACCATAAGTTTATCAACAGTGAATGTCACAAGAAAAAAGAAAAGAAACAAATTTATTTTGATTTTTGACATTTAATTAGGGACTTTCAGCTTTGAATTTTCCTCAGAGTTCAGTATTTTATGTTTTTTTTTTTACTTTTTACATGATTTAACACACAAATTTCACAAGAGAAAAAAAGCATGCAAAAAAATTTGTGAAAAGTAAGTATTTAAGGGGAACCACTAGTAGTGTGTCAATATTATTTGATATGCAAAATTTGTATTCGAATAGGCACATCTCCTTTCCATTGAGTTTATTTGGCTCCTTTCCCCTCAGTGATGGTTTATTGACTTTGAATTTTTTGCATAGTTCGCAAGTTATAAAGATTGTGGTAAGATTAGTTATAGTTAAACCACTAATGTTAAGTCAATGATATTGGTATGCAGTTGTATAATCATTTGTAAGTTTCATTGTCATTAAAATTATGTGGCACCACCCTATCATCATGGTTCATTGACTTCTGCCTGCTTCACAAGCTTAAGTTTGTGTTTAGGTTAGTTTTAATGGAACCACTTATGATAAGTCGATGGTACTTGGTATGCAGGTTTTATAAGCATTAATATTTCTCATTTCCATGGAAGTTCTTTGGCCCTGCACCTTCAGTCATGGTTCATTGACTTTGAATGTTTTGCATATATAAAATTAGAAGATTTGGTATGATTGGCAATGATACAACTCTCCACAAGTGACCAAATGACACAGAAATTAAAAACAATAGGTCACCCTAAGGCCTTCAACAATGAGCAAAGCCCATACTGCAGTTAGCTATAAAAGGCCTCGAAATGAAAAATGTAAAACAATTTAAACGAGAAAACTAATGGCCTAATTTATGTACAAAATAATGAACGTAAAACAAATATGTTACACAGCAACAAATGACAACCACTGAATTACAGGTTCCTGAATTGAGACAGGCACATGCATAATGTAGTTTACATATTTAATTTTTAAATTTGTATTTTACTATAAAAATAACAAAAAACAAGTCATATCCTGTTGTCAACAGTTTATTAAGTTAAGAATAAGTTTTATTGACCCCTCCTACTTTCGCCTCTGTGGACATAGTCATTTCTCAAATATTTCATACTTCATAAAATTTATATGTCACAACTATAAAGAATACAAGGTTAAGGATTGAAAAGAAAAAAAAATACATAGCAGGTTTACATAAGTAGGTTTTAAACATTGACAGAATGTTAAATAATTAAAAGAGGAACATCAAAAATATGGGTCTAAGCAAAGAATGGTAGAGAGACCTACAAAACTTTGTGCAAAAGAAAAAAAACCAATTCTGATAACATGCATAATGTTTTAGCTTAATCATACTTAGTCTAAGTATTTGTGGCTGAATCCATTTATCATTTTTTAAAGGTTGGTATATGTTATAGATAAAAACAAAAAGGATTACCATCTTAGATACAATTATGTGAAAATAAAATAAAGAATACTAAAGAAGATAATGTTGCTATGAATCAGATTGAGTAATAGACCAATTTATAATTTTAGTTAACTTCTGTCTTTTATCTCCCCTTGTTTGATTGAATGATTGATTAATTGGTGTTTAATGCCACTTTAAACAGTATTGTGCTATTTCGTGGCTGTTAGTTTATATTGATGGAGGAAGTCAGACCGCCCAGAAAGAACCACCAACCTTGGTTGGAAAACTGACAATCCTAGTCAATAAAGATTGGAGTCAATTAAACGCACCTCCCACATGCGGGATTCGAACTCACAACCTCAATGTTGACAGACTAGTGATACAGTATCTCGACTTGTTAGACACCATAGGCCACCGAGGCCCCTTCACTTTGTTTGAAGACCAGGTGATCTATTGCAACCACATTGAGACTGTATTTAATTTTACAAACATTGTCTCTGGAACTACTGGACCAAATGTTACCTAACTTTACCTGAATATTCCTTTGCGAATCTTGTTAAAAATATTGAATCTTGGGATATGATAAATCAACAAACATGGCCGTGCATTTCACTGTTACTAAAAATATAAAAATGGTTTAAACATTGTTTTTGACGTATAATTTAACAAAAAATAAGCAACAAAACTCGTATAAATACGAAACATTCTGAAAAATCTGACAACCCATGTTGGAGTTATTGCCCCTGAAATGTCATTTGTTTAACAAATTTTACTAATAGGAGTTGTTGCCCTTGTACGAAGATTTTTACCCCTGTTTACGCTTTTTGCAGAATATTCAATAGAAACTGAGAAATTGTAAATAGCAAAATGTTCAGAACATTAAGATCTACAACTAAGTCAACATGGCCGAAATTGTCAATTGCTATTGTCCTTTAAAGGCAGCGTTTGCCAATTTTGCGCTTTGTTATTACCGAAACTATAATATATAGAAATTGTCTGGGTAGGATGACAATTCTTCCTGTAAACTGTAACTTTGTGAACTATGTTAAAAATTAGGCTCAGGGCGTCGTTCTTGTATAAAGCCGGTTTTGTACTTTTATTGCTTTAAAATGTTCTCGTACTGAATATGCATTTAATTTGTAGTAATAGTAATGTATATTATTATGTGAAATTACTGCGTCTCTATTTCAATTATAATACTTGTTGGCTCTAAATAGATTACTTTTTTTAGTTTATAACTGTAATTTAGTGACGAACAATGTTATATTTCCCCAATAAGTCACAAACGCTTACTACAATGTTGTCCAAGTTTAACAATCCTCGATTTAATGCTAATTTTCTGTTTATAAAACATTTTACAATAACCTTGCAGTATCATTGTATATAAGGAGTCATTTGGGTCCTATTTAAAACGGTATTTAGAATGGAGTACCGGGGACTCATAATCTTTTCAATTTCATGTCATGCAACCTTTGTGTTGACCGTTAATAATATTTTACGATTGATATATATTACAGTAGCGAATCCTTGAGTATTAACAATAGGGGTACGAAAACTAAGGAATAGCAGCAAAAAAATTGGAAAAATTCAATAAACACATATATTCTACTAAAAGATGCCTCCTTTTAAAAATGATTCCATAACAAAAACAAAATCACACACTTAATCCGCCCATGTTCTATATCCTATTGACAATAACATTTAAATTGAAAGGAATATTTAGTAAAAAAAAGATAACATAACTGTAAAATTTTCCAGCGTCCAAAACACTTTTCTGGATTTTCCTTCAGCTGAATATCTGAAAGCCAGGGATGTATAAGAACCGAAACAACTGAAGAGCTTTATCATCAAAAAGGACATAGAATAGTCAAATCCATCTACGGTTCAACTTTGTCTGAGGGAGTTTAAAACCATAGTTTCTTTATAATTTTTAAATTTATAAACGGACATTTTTAGATGATTAGTTGTTGTTTGCTGTTCGTCCAGTGATAAATATTTTATGCATGTTCAGGATGAGAACAATAAATACAATAGGTGGGTCCTGTATTGGAGGCCGATCGGGATAAAAGTCGGGGAAAATTTATGCTGCCACTGGAAAATGAGGGTATATCGGAAAGGGGCAAAAATGTTCAATTGTAACAGTTCACATGCGGATCCATAAAAGAGTTGTTGCAAGGAATCTTAACTTGAAAAGAGCTTGGCATTCCTCTACACGCCCCCTTCTGGCCAGACGTGGCTGTGTACTTGTTAATCCCCCACAGTCAAAAGTATGCCCCAGTTTGGCAAGAGTTTTTCTTAAAATGTCGGGAATATGACAGTTGTTATCAAATAGTCCATCTCTATGTATGTTGGCGTTTGTTTTTGTTGCAGTTCAGTTCAGTCTTATAGTTGATATGTTTCCCTCGATTTTAGTTTGTAACCATGATTTTTTTTTTCACTTGATCACGACTATTGAACAGCGGTATACTAATGTTGCTTTTATTTACTGCCAGTCGGAAGAAGTCCTAAGTGACCATATTTCTTTTCCCACGTCCCCCTTGCAGGTAAAATTATTTAGAAAGGTTTTTTATAAATATGTCAATACCGAAGATCTGACGACTGAGCTGATAATAAGCTCGAGGACTTATCCAATGTATTTGATGAACAATGAAATAAACCATTTTCTGAGGGTCGACACAGGGTGCAACAAAATTGTTCTTATTAAGTAATATTATCTTGTCAGCTTTTTCTGTGACGAGTCGATTCTCAACTTTGTTACGTGATTAAAAGTCCTGCTGATGAAAATATTTGCTCTGACGGTACAGGGTTAGTTTAATGACTCAGACACGCTACGCTAAAAGTGTAAGTCTTGGAAAGGTGCTCTTGTTCATAGTCCACCTATGTTTGGAGGAATTTTAAATGACAAACGCAAACATTCGAAACGTAATTTTGATTAATTATGATAATATTAAATTTCCCGGGAGGTGCTCTTAATAAAAATATTATTTCTTTAAGAAGGCAACAACATTCTTACAGGAAACCGATTAGTCGAGTATCATTTTGGTATTCGATACTCGGTACTACCGAGCGATACTCGAGTACTCGTTGACATCCCTAGTATTTGTACTAACGCAAAAGTTCAAACTCCCAAATACAAAGTTGATATAAGACGGTGATGGCTGTTGATATCTAGTCTGATTCTCTCTATTGCAACAAACATACTGGTATGTGCGTGTTGGAACCAAACAGATAATGGACAGGAGACCAGTATAGTTCATTTCAGGCCCGTTTGATTTTTATGCTCTTTAACGTTTTATATTTACCAAATTTTCTGTGTCTACCGCAAAATGTACCTGATCAAAGTTATTTTCAGAAATACCTGTTTGTTCACATAAAACTCATATCGTGTGTTCAACTACCACTTGGTCGTTACTGCTGCTAGCTAGTTGTTTATCAGTCCACCAAGGATACCATCCTTCAAGTTGACAGTTCATAATCGTCAAAATGAGGATGCCAGTGTGGCTAAGAATAGAGGAAATTACCAGCTGTTACCTGTGACACAGATATTTAACAACGGTTTACCAATTAATGAGTTTTGTACGGAACATTATAATTTTGATTTAATAGGAAATTTGACATGGAATATGAGTCAACATCACCTATGAAGCCCGAATAACATGTATATAATACTACAATGTCCTTAACTTCAACATAAATCATCATTCTGGTCTTCGTGTTTTTGTTTTTTTAGGTATATTTGCTAAAACAAACTGTCAACGTAACCAATCAAATTGCAGGATTACATGGGACATTTTAACCCAGTATAGCATATATAATTACTAATATATACACTGGTTATGAGTAAACAGAAATTAGTGGCAAAGTAAGGCGACAGTAGTTGACCGTTGTTCATATCTCGTAAACATGAATTTGAGATTGAACAACCAAAAGACAACAAAATAAAAGAAAAGACAAAAAGGAATATATCATTGTGAATTGCTCAACGCTGAAGTATTTCAAAGGCGAAAATATCCGACGTTAATGGTAAAAAAATTATTGCACGTGTAAACATCTGATTTGTCATAATATCAAAATTACTTTCATCATTTTTTCTTTGATAGAAAATATAATGAAAAAACTATTGTTATAGGTATTTAAGATGTAATTTCTTTCTATTTTAATGTTTATGGATAACATAAAACCAAAATTAACGTTTCATATTGATCAATACGTGGGCTATCAAAAAGACAAAGCTGTTACACAGACATTTGAAAACAGTATTTGTAGATATTTCATGCAAACACTAGACATTTCACTTAACTGAAGAAATGTTGAGAATAGTTCTCGGTTTGATTTGCTTTTTTAAAGTGATCCATGCAATTGGTCAGTATAAACATTTTGTATTTTTGCTGAAAAATGTAGTTTCTACTGATAGGGTCGAAGAATTCCAGGGACAAATCAAAATGCATATTTAGGACGAGACCATTTTAATGCGATATAAATATTCATCCTGCTTTGTACTAGACCAACACACTGATCCGGATTTTTGACTTGCTATTTCATAAGGTAACAACCCGCAGGAGGACATGTCTACCTACCCAAATGTATTATTCTGACTCCGAGCCGACCAGTGTTTGCTTGTCATCCTTAATGCCGTGTGATAGGTAGATAATTATCAAATACCAATTCTAAAGTCTTTGGTGAATCCAGGACCTCTCGCCTCGAGGAGAACACACTACCATGAGACCCATGAGGCGGTTATCTCATCGTATGAAGATGATGCTTATGTTTCGTGAATTGTAAAATAGATCGAATTGTATTGAAATGTATTTAGTAATTTACCTCGCAATTTACACCTTTACTTTATCATCAGTAGAATACTAGCATGTCATTTGTTTAATGTTTGCATTCTTATTTGTAAATTATTTTGTAACTAAATATCTATATGACGACTATAGAATAGTTTTGTTTCTTCTAGATTGTCCAGACGGTAAGTGATATTGAATGTATTTGAAGTACTAAGGATTTTATACCTCAGGAATATATTACCCTAGCTGTTTTTGGCATGTCTTTTGAAATTTTTTGTCCTCAATGCTTTTCAAACTTCCTGCTTGATTTTGGCCTTTAAACTTTTTTGGTTCGAGCTTCACTGTTGAGTATTTTGTAGACGAAACGCGCATCTGGCGTACAAAATTATAAGCCTTGTATCTTGGATGTATTCTGTGTTCTATATAAATAAGAATAGTAATTGTAGAAATCTTCCCGTATGTTTCAGCTCTAAATTTGTCCAAAAAGTTTTTTCTTGTTTTATAAAGTGGATTTGGGATAAAACTTCTCTACTTACCTTCCAGTTGAGCACATGCATTATTTTCTGTTCAATGGAAAATTGTTATTACGTTGCAATCCATCACTCAAAAAAAATTGTAAAAAGACAACAAAACAAGTAAATGCTTATAGTATTACATGTTTTCACGTCTTTAAAATTTCAAAAGAAGGAACTGAGTAAAATATCATAACATAAATATGTTCAATGTCACCTTCTATTTTACCGATTATCATACATGTACACTTTAATTTTATTTATAATCTAAATATATAGTCGACTAATTTTAATTATTTCGTATAGTTAAGAACATTTATTCAACCAATCAATTGCCATTAATATTTTATCTAGCATTTCTTATCTATTTTCCTAATACCAAGTTAATAATCCATGCCATTCCAGACCTTGATTAATTTGTTGTCAATTTTGAGTTGAGTTATACCAAGCAGTTCAACAATGTTAATAGGTTTGTGTGTATTAATTATTTTGTAGAATTATAGAAGGATTAACGAAAATATTCGCCGATTATAACAATTAGTTTGCACGTAATTGTGCAATCATTTCATATGTCCCCCATTCTAATGTAAAAGTACTTCATTGTTTTAGCTCTAAGTGTATTGATTGTTATTTTTCAGAAATATGTGTAACAGAAAATTGTAAAAACTTTCCGAACGCCGTACCCAAGTAAGTATTACAAAATATGCATTGCGATCATTCGTTGAATTTGATTTTTAAGTTTTTTTTTTTTTTTATATATTTGGGAATTTGGATTTATCATTCTATGAATATTCATTTTTTTATTTATGTCATGTTTGGTTTTTTAGGGAGTCTTCGTGTAGTCCTGTTTCCAAAGCTAGCAAGGCACCGACAATTCATCTTTTTAAAAAATTTTTTTTTTTAAATGCATACTGGAGACAGAATTGTTTTAAGCTAAATGTTCTATCTATTTTTCCCTCTAATTTTTATTCGACAAAAAATTATTTTTTTCACTTCTCTTTTGAAACAAATTAATATTAAATTTAAAAAAATGTAGGACAAACAGTTAATTTAAAAACATAACTCCGGTTTCTGTTGTCTGTTTCGCTTCCTTGTTTCCCTCTGTATTTCTCTATTTACATCATATTCGAGAAACCACATAAACATCAACTACATTGTCGAAATTAATTTGTTCCAAGTAATGAATACTGAATTTTCTACGTTCTACGTGCTTTCTGTAATATTTCTATAAAATCATTAATTAATAAAGAAAAACATAGATAAAGGTCTTTTTTGAAACAACATATAAAAGCAACTGGACTGTAACGAAAGAATAGATATACAGGAGTCTTTTGAAATATATTATATTGAAACTGGACGGGAAACACTTATAACAACCGAAAAGTGAGTAACTGTCAACAGAAAAAGCATCGTCCATCTGTTTTCTATGTTCACCATTTATAAAAGATTCCAATCCTTTTTATCTCTAACTTTTATTTGCTTTTCTGGTGCTGTTTTCTTTAAAGTACAATAATATTCTTCGTAGAACATAAGATTCATATGAGACTCGGTATGAAATTCTTCCGGATTTCTTTTCCACTATAGGCGTTTTCAAAACGTCTTGCAATTTGAAATCAATTTCACGGTATTTTAGCTTAACGCGTATGAAAGTAGCACATATATAGCAAGGTCTTGTCGTAGTTCAAACAAATATAATCCTTTTAGTATTCTTTGCTTTCTTTCGGAGCACTTGCGATCACTTCCGGTTTTCATATGCGGTTCGTGTCGCTCAGTCTTTGGTTTTCTATGTTGTGTTTTGAATAATGTTGTATGTCTTTTTGTCGTTTTTTCTATTTATTTTTTTTATTTTCCAAGAGGAATCAATATTATAGTTTTCAAAGGAACTTCCGACTATACGGTATGGGGTTTTCTCATTGTTGAAGACCGTACCGTTGCCTATAATTGCTTACATCCACTCCATTTGAACTTTGGTGGATAGTTGTCTCATTGGCAATCATACCACATCTCCTTATTTTTTTATTCTGTTGGGCGGAACAAAAATACGTTGACACTTCCAGTTGGGTTCGAACTCACAACCTCAGTATTGGCAGGCTAGTGATCACTGTAGATGAAAATGTTAGATCACTCGGACACCGAGGCCCTTACAACTTCAGTGATAACGATGTATATTTATATGGTTTTTTTTTATTAGTAATCATTTAATTTATTTTGTTCTTAGAGCCCACGATGTAGACGGAAAGTGCAAGTGCTATTTTGAAGTAGACGGAAAGAAAATAGATATGATTTTATGTAAGTTTACGACAGTTGAAAATCTATTGATTTTTTTTACTACGCACACCACGTATTTTAATCTTCCAAGTGCCCCACGAAACCTCTTTCTAAATTATTAACATTAATTTTATCAGCAATCAAAGCCGGGCTTTAAAGTTATTTTGAAACTACCTATTCTAGAGGTGGCGTGAATCAGATGTGGATACTAAAAAATTACAAAGATCTTTTAGAGTACATACAATCTAAGACTCTTTCATCTTGCAATAGTATTAAAACATTTGACTTTTCTACACTTAACACAAGTATTCACCATTCCAAACTAAAAGACAAATTGAAAGATTTTGTCCTGCTTTGTTTCATAAAAAAGAATGGCCAACGTAGATACAAGTATCTTTTTTTAGGGAGAGATAAATCGTACGTTGTAAAAAAATCACTCTGATTCAAACAAAAAATATTCTGAAACTGACATTATCAAGATGATTGATTTCTTGATTGACTACATATTTGTTACGTTTAGAGGACGTGTTTTTCAACAAACAATCGGCATTCTCATGGAAACAAACTGTGCCTCCCTTCTTGCCGACTTTTCCTTTATTCATATGAGGCTGATCCATACAGGAACTTCTTAGGAAGAAAGAAAAAAAGTTAGCAGTATCCTTAAACTTACTTTCCGCTATATAGATGATGTTCTCTCACTAAATAATTCAAAATTTGGTGACTTTGTTGAACGCTTTTATCCCATCGAACTTGAGATTAAGAACACAGTTAAGTCTGCCTCATATCTTGACTTTCATCTAGAAATTGACAATGTGGGTCGGTTGAAAACAAAACTTTACGACAAAAGAGATGATTTCAGCTTCCCATTTGTGAACTTTCCATTTCTATGTAGGAACATTCCAGCAGCGCCTACATACGGACTATATAATCTTCAGGTTGAAACGATATTCCAGGGCTTGTATTTCCTATCATGATTTCCTTGATAGAGTGTTGCTGCTCACAAGGAAGCTATTAAACCAAGAGTTGCAAGTGGTGAAGTTGAAATCATCCCCTTGTGTATTTTACGGACGCCATCACGAGTTGGTTGACCGTTATGGGATATCCGTTTCACAGATGATAGCGGATATGTTCCTAATGTCGTAACTACTATCGCGTCCCCTTTTTCCGCAATGACCTACTGAATTAGACTTATTACCGGGTTTGTAATAACATGAGCAACACGACAGGTGCCACATGTGGAGTAGGATCTGCTTACCATTCCGGAGCACCTGAGATCACCACCAGTTTTTGGTGGGGTTTGTGTTGCTCAGTCTTTAATTTTCTATGTTGTGTTTTGTGTACTATTGTTTTTCTGTTGGTCTTTTTCTTTTTTAGTCATGGCGTTGTCAGTTTATTTTCGACTTATGAGTTTGAATGTCCCTCTGGTTTCTTTCGCCCCTCTTTTAATAGCCTCCTTCATGGAAGTACTCTGTAGATCAAACGTATGAGAAATAAGGCAAATCAAAACTTTTTTATCCCCATCGATAGACCAAAGTTTGGTTTAAATAGAAGACAGGAAGATACCAAAGAGACCTTCAAACCTCATAAGTAGAAGAAAAACTGACAACGCAATGACAAAAAAAGTAGTTGGAGTTAAATGGACAATGTCTCTCCGTGTATAGCTGATATAGATTATACATACCGAAACAAACCGACAGGATGAGCGAATATCTACTATGCTATTTAAAATCAATTGGGAACTTCGAACAGTTTTCAACAAAAGTGAAATAATAAACAAAGAATATATATTCCAGATGTTGTTTCAAATGCGTCGATGTGTCAATGATAACTACATATTCCTTATTTAAACAAAATATCTTCAAGTTTCCTTTGACTACAGACTGGTTTGCCTATCGATATCTACGTAAATCGATCGATCTTTTCAATACAAAACATTATTTAATTTTGTATTATGCAATTCATACTTATGAATCTAAGAATAATTTTGGAGAGAGGAAAGTCAGTTTATAAATGTCTGTTTTTCAGAAAACTAAGATTCCAACAGTTTACGGGTTGATTCAGCTTTTCCTTTAAGGTCCTGTTTGGTCATTTAGCTCCTCAAGTATTTAATGTTATATACATTATTGGCAAATGTTTGACCTGGGCGCTCCAGGTGAAGATAAATCAAATGAAGCTCTTCTAACGCACCAAATCTATAAATAAAGGCAACAGTAGTATACCGCTGTTTAAAAGTCATAAATCGATTCAGAGAAAAAAAATCCGGGTTACAAACTAAAACCGAGGGAAACACACAACTATAAGAGGAACAACAGAAACACTGAACTGCAACAAAAACAAACGCCAACATACATAAAAACTATAGAGTATTACTTTCAACATTTTAAAGTCAGAGAGAAAGTAAGCATTTCATAATATTATGTAAACTAACAATTTAATATCACCAATACCATATTATCGTGGGTGTGTTTTTATATTTGCATTTTGTCGTTAACTGTTCAATTTTTATCCCTACGACCTTCTAATGTTTTTATATCCGATACCACTAGAATGACTATGTGACTTTTGAATCGTAGGATTGGTATTGCTTGAATTGCTGGAAATTTTGAGGCACCTTGTTTTATACTCTTTTTAGATCATGTGATTCCGTGTATTTTATACCCATGTTTGTCTCTGTGATACTGTACATTGACTTTCTAGATTTGAACTGAAGCACACTATCTAAAGATCTCGGCTTTGGAAGCGGGGTTATTTTTTTTTCATGATGTTATTTTCCTCTTTTCTTTATTTTGCTCATTATTCTATATTTATTTTAGGACACCATTATTTTCTGTTCTTTATCTGTTATTTCTCTTTTTTTAGAACAACGTAGAACAACTTTCCTTAATGAGGGATACCAATGGTATATTTATTCCATTTATAACGTATTGAAATTAAAACCTTTAAGTTGCTTTTGTCTTCAGCAAACTATTAGTTGCGTATACTAAAGATATAACTACATCACGCAAAGGAAGTCCACAATTTCTGGCAATCGTCGATATGAGGCTTTGTTAAATGTTGATGATTTTATCCACCAATATTTTGGTCTTAATTGTATCTATAAATGTTAAAAAAATACACTTGGGATATACTTTAATGAGAGAGTAGTCCAAAGAATCAAATAACATAAACACTTTATATGTTAATTTTACCAAAATTATTTTATAATATATCTGTGTTCGCAGAATATCACCATTAACATATTTCTTTTTTCTCTTTGAGAAAAAATGTTCAATTGAAACCTGCTGAAACGATTATGAAATGTTTAGTATTTAGTATAACAAATGTTTTTGTGGTTATGGTACATTTTTTTAAACGCTGGTATATTGTAGGCGGGCTAAAACACGTGTGCACTGCTGACAATCCAATATACCCATGCGAGAGTCCTTTGCCCTGCCAAACAAAGAAGTGCGCAAAGTACCCCAGAGCAGAATGCTAGTAAGTATGTTTTCAGATATGTGATTGTGTGGAAGGGGTTAAAACTATATTTGCATATACTTATTTGTTTTGTTTTATATTTTGTGACTGTGTTAATATGGATTGCGATCGAAGGTGCTTGGGGAATGGAACCCCCTTTTTTATTTTTTTTCTAACATTTTTAGTGAATAATCTTTGTTAATTTAGCTTATTTTGACTTATCTAATGTGTTATTGTTCATATGACGTAACAATAGCGGTAGTTTGTATACAAATTCAGTCCCTTATTTTCCACAATTTTACTCATTTATATTCTACCCCTGGTGGATTATATCGTATTTAAACTTATCTTCTTTTATTTTGAAGATGTGTTTTCTAACTTTACATGTCGTAGATTCAGAACAGAATCTATAGGACTTTTGGTAATTGAATTGTTCGTATTCCAAAATGAAAATATGGTGACGTCATTGGTTGAATTTCCATGGTTTAAGACGATGTTAGCCAATAACAAGACTTTGGTGTACGCTTTTGAACAACTACCTAGAATGCATTAGATTCTATAACCGTTACGGAGAATTATCAAATATGTCTAAACATTTTTGTTTTCTGTAAAAGTAACAGAATAGACGAAAACATGTGATGTTTTTTCTTTTTTATCTGTCACCGGTTTTTACTTTATTATTGTATCTATTTCGTTTTACCTGTTATATAAAAGAGCAATATATCTGATTTTAACACAATGTATGCATAGCATGGAGGTAAGACCAATTACAGCATATAAGTACACAAATCTGGAGTGTAAAATGTATTAGAAAAAGTTAGCATTGAGCTGTAAGAAAAATGTTGTAAAAATGACAAGAATGTCAAAATATTTTTGATAAATATATTTAAATTTAGAACTCTATGAGTTGCTACATATAAGGTTTTAATACATTGCCAACAAACATTCGGACAAACAAATTGGAATTGCGGTCAAACATCAATAATCTCGGTTTTCCGAATCGAAAACTAATGCAAACGTTCAGTGATATCAGTTGATTTACTTGCGATCTCGGTTTTATACATTAAGATCTGTGTTACCTTACTCAAGATCTCAGATAGAAAACTAAAATTCCTCCACCATACCTTTATAATTATTCACAAATCATGAAAACGGGTATCCATATATGAAGTTCAGCTTTTTCGTTGCAACAATTCTATTTAATTTAAAATCATTGTAAAAATTTGTCTTAAAAAATGTTATTTACTGAATTAATGTTGACAGTTGATATCCGGCCTGTTCCATTTGGTGTTCTTGCGATTCTCTTTTTTTTTTAACCTTGATTGGTCTCTTCTTAATGTATTCACGAGATTTGAACATCGGTAACTACTGTTGCCTTAGTTTTGCTATATGTGCAATACAATCGCTTTCTTCTTATTATCATATTATTGATTTTGAACAGTAACTATGTGTGTGGAACGTGTAGAGCTGATTTCTTTGTCGGCAACGTGAATATGACTGATGAATGTAGGTAGGTATGTAAATACATTCTGAATAAAATAATATAAAAATAAGAAGATTTGGTATATGGCAATGAGACAACTCTCCACTAGAGACCAGATGACTTAGAACATCATGTCTATTGATAAAGATTATGTCATTGGTGTGGATTTTGTCATGTGCATATGATATATCAATGTCACATATCAAAACTGCACATGTTTTTGTGACCAATCAACCATATAAAACTATCGATTGCATATGTTCTATAAAATATAACAGATTGCATCGTTTTTATGTTCATTTCTGTACTAATATATATTTTATATGTCAATTATAGTTATATTATACGAATTAATTTTGTAGCGTGTAATTATTGTGTAAACTCTAAATAGTGGAAAACAATGGAGATTGTTTTTCTTAAAATTGTCAAAGGATGTTTGATACCAATGCAAACTAGCAATTAATATTAGTTATTTCTCAACAACAACAAAAGCAAACAAACAAAAAAAAACATGAAAATTATCATCTTTATCCGAAACCATCTTAAGTCAAATGTCATTGATGACATCTGAAAATAAATATGAAACTTGAAGTGTTAAAACAATTAATGCTGAAAAGAAGGCCAACAGTGATCTACAGATCTAGTTATTTAAGTATAATGTCGATTACATAGACCATTTCAATTTTAGGTGATGACTGATAACTCCAAAGAAAAGGCGATGATTAAGGCTAGGGAGACAGCAAAGAACAATTATCATCAAGAAGTTTAAAATTGGAAATAAACTAATTTTCATTGAAAACAAATTCAGCGCCTTGAGTTCTTTTTTTTGACGAAAGCATTTGTTTGATCAAAATTTAGTTAATGTAATTGGTTGGGGTTTTTTTTCTGTACGTTTATTTTTTCTACGTCCTCGGTGGTTTCGAGGTAGCTTCCTAGTCTCAGATGCTAGAGGTTGAGTGTTCCATCACCAGTGTATCAGACCACAGATTTAAAAATTGGTTATTGCAGCTTCTCTGCTAATCACGTGGTATTTAGGTATCAAAGCAAAGACTAATCGGTACGGAGTCAGAATAATGTGTAGGGTGACATGTCTGCCTGCTGGTTGTTACCATTGGAAGTAAAAGTTAAAAATCCGACTCGTCGTGTCGGTTAAGTTCAAAGCCGGATTTATATTCCTTTCTATATTATCTGCTATTGAATGTTGAACAGCAATACATTTATCTTTTTTACCGGAGTCAGGTGTTGCAATTTGGCATAGCTTTCAGTACTTGCGAGTACTCTTATATCGGCGCTTCATGTCTATTGATTTTATGTTGCTTTTGTGCCTCGTACAGATCTTTTGAGTTCAGCAACTTGCAACTCATTTTATCTGTTTGTTTTTATAATGTGCTGTAATACTACTGTCCCAGGTTATGTGAGGATTTAGCGGTCACCGCATGTTTAACCCGTCATGTTTTTTATGTGCCTGTCCCAAGTCAGGAGCCTGTAGTTTAGTGGTTGTTGTTGATTCATGTCTGTTATATTTGTTTTTTCATAAATTGTTTTGTTAACATTTATGCCGTTTCTCAATTGAATTGTTTCATATTTTTCATGACGGTGGATTTCATAGCCGACTATACATTATGGGGTTTTCTCATTGTTGAAGGCCGTACGATTGCTGATAACTACTTCATTTGAATTTTAGTAGATAGTTGTCTTATTGGCAATCAAACTGCATTTATTTATTAAGAATAAAGTCATAAATAACTCCTACACCACTTTTTATGTAAAAACAATGGTAAACTACGGTTAACTCCGCATGATGATAAACAATCCTACTAAATATGAGTTTCAATTTGCAACGGAGATGTGTGAAAACTGCTGACTGTAGTTAATGTTAAAGGATAGAAAACCAACAAGAATGCACTTGTTATTCAACTTATCAGAAAAAGGAGGTAGATGTCTGACAAGCGCTGTTAAGCTGCTCTTCAAATATGAAGTCATTCTATTCAGTAGTATTGGAGAAATGTGTAAAGAAAATTTGTTATGTTATTGAAGAAGTATCGGCAAACAGGAAGTAGGTATCTGACAAATCCAAAAAGTTCCCAAACGTTACAACTCATCACTGTCAAGTTGCTGGCTGATCAAATATTTTATGATAAACGGATGGACGAGCAGACTTTCCTCGAGTGGGCTGTGACTTTGACTTTTACAAAAGTGACCTAAAATCAAGGCAGAAATTAGATTTTGTATGACCATGAATACATTGCACCGTATCAATACATTTCCATGATTTCGGTCTAGGTACTGTGATCTTGGCCTTTCAAAGGGAATTTTCATGTTACATTTGGTGAAAGTTGAAAATATGATAACATCTGTTAAATGTTTACAAATTTTCGGCCAATCAATTGCAGTTGTGACCTTGATCTCTGACCTAGTTGCTTCAAATTAATAGCGCTGATTTTTATTCAAAGAATTGTTACTTTTTTGCTCACCTGGCCCGAAGGGCCAAGGGAGCTTTTCTCATCACTTGGCGTCTGTCGTCCGTCGTCGTCGTCGTCCGTCGTCGTCGTTAATTTTGTCCATTTACGTCCTTTTTAATGGAATGAAACCAAACATGGCATGAATGTTCCTTATGAGGTGCTGACCAAGTGTTGTTACTTTGTAGCCGATCCATCATCCAAGATGGCCGCCAGTGGGGGACTTCGTTTAACATAGGACCCTATGGACAATACATACAAATGTCTTCTTTTAGAGAACCACTGAATGGAATGAAACCAAACATAGCATGAATGTTCCTTATGAGGTGTTAACCAAGTATTGTTACTTTGAAGCCGATCCATTATCCAAGATGGCCACCAGAGAGGGACTTGTTTAACATAGGACCAATGGGAAATACATACAAATGTCTTCTTTTAGAGAACCACTAAATGGAATGAAATTAAACATGGTATGAATGTTCCTTATGAGGAGCTGACCAAGTGTTGTAACTTTGTAGGCAAACCATCATCCAAGATGGCCGCCAGAGAAAGGCTATGTTTAACATAGGACCCTATGGGAAATACATACAAATGTCTTCTTTTAGAGAACCACAAAATGGAATGAAATAAAACATGGCATGAATGTTTCTTATGAGGTGCTGACCAAGTGTTGAAACTTTGTAGGCGATCAATCATCCAAGATGGCCGCCAGCGGGGACTTAGTTTAACATAGGAACCCTATGTGAAATACATACAAATGTTTTCTTTTAGAGAACCACTGAATGGAATGAAACCAAACATGGAATGATAGCATGAATGTTCCTTATGAGGTGCTGACCAAGTGTTGTTACTTTGTAGCCAATCAATCATCCAAGATGGCTGCCAGCGAGGAACTTAGTTTCACAAAGGACCCTACGTGAAATACAAACGAAAGTTTTCTTTTGAAGAACTACTGAATGGAATGAAACCAAACATGGCATGAATGTTCCTTATGAGGTGCTGACCAAGTGTTGTTACTTTATAGCAAATTCATCAACCAAGATGGCTGCTGGGGACTTAGTTTAACAAAGGACCCTATGGGAAATATATACAAATGGCTTCTTCTAGAAAACCGCTTAATGGATTGAAATCAAGTATGGTATGAATGTTTCTTTAGAGGTGCTGACCAAGTGTTGTTACTTTGTAGCCGATTTGTCATCCAAGATGGCTGCCAGCAGGGGGAGTAAGTTTAACATAGGACACTATGGGAAATAAATACAATTTTTTTCTTCTAGAGAACCACTGAATAGAATGAAACCAAACATGGCATGAATGGTCCTAATGAGGTGCTGACTAAGTGTTGTTACTTTGTAGCCAAACTATCATCCAAGATGGCTGCCAGCAGGGGACTTAGTTTAACATAAGACCCTACGGGAAAGACATACCATCAGGATTTTTTATTAAATTACGGGGCCAATATTAGACCAAATTTGGCCTCAATCATTATTAGGGTATCTGTTATGATTTTAATTTATTTTTACATGATTTCCAAAACCAAATTAGAATCAGGTGAGCGACACAGGCTCTTCAGAGCCTCTAGTTTAATTTCTTAGCTATTAACGTTCATCAAAATTGCATATATCCCAGAACTTTGATTAGGTCAAAAGTAAGTACCAAGCAAACCAAAACAAAATTTTGAAATTATACATTACTGTCTGTTGCTTCTACATTTACACCAAGATGTCGTTAAATGAAATTGGATACCCTGCATTTATCATGCTTTTCAATTACATATGTTCAACTCGTTGAAAGACCCCTCTTAAATTATTGAAAACTGCATTGATAATAACATATTGGTATAAATTAGATGCACTAAATACGTCTAACGCCCTCATAGGTGTAACTAGTACATGTAATTATATTGCAAATATTCTTTCATATGCACATAAATATTAAATATATGTGTCCATAGGCAATCATGCCATCACGCTTTCAAATTTCCAAGTTCAATTAACTTCAAATTAGGATCCAACCCCTTATTTTTGCATATATTTTGCATCATAATGAACCTTTATATTAAGTTTCAAGCTTTTTTCTTCCTTGCTAAGGACTGGATTCATACATGTCATATTGGAATGTAATTAAAAATTGCTTTGTGACAACAACGTCATAGTTAGCCACCGTATACAGAATCCTTACACTGATATGGAATAGAAGAACGAACCAAACGATGGACGCATAGACTAGAGAACATGTTGCCCCTTCAGTGTCAGCGGACCATTACAGCCCTTAATCTAAAATCCAAAGGCCATTCGAGGTGAAAAAAAATATTCCAACCAAATATTAAAAAAAAAAGACTAAATCTTTCAATTGTTTTGAAACACTTTTTTTGTAGAAATCATTGTAATTGTTGTTTCATTTAAAATGGTCTTCTTTTTGTTATTTTTTAAAAGTGTTGTTCTAAGATCCAAGCAAATAAATTACAAAATACATTTGCATGTACCATTTACTAAATAACGTTTTTTTTTTTGTTGTTTGGGGGGGGGGGGGGGGGGGTGGGGGTGGATATGAGGGGGGATTTACAGTTTATATACATGAACTTTCATATAGTGTCCAATAAAACTTATTTACTACATATTGTCTTTGTTTTTCACCCCATAAAAACATTAATAGTTATTCCTCTATTATTTCTTTCAATCTCCACCCCTTTGTTAAAAAATCAAATAACTGCTCCTGTTTATACTTTGATATAAAATGATGAAATGTGGTATGATTTCCAACTATCCATCAGCGTCCAAATAACATGGATTTTATTAGTTACACAGTGTGCAGTTGTCCTAATACGGGAATTTATCGGGTCAATAAAATTCATATCGGGTTAGGCGAAGCTAAACCCGATATGAATTTTAGTGACTTGATTAATTCCGTATTAGGATAATTGTACACTGTGTAAAGAATTTAACCTGATTTTGTTATCACACCACTTATTTTTCTTTATTAAGTCAATGGTATGAGGGAGATAATTCGAATTGACTTTATTTTTTTTTTATTTAGTCAATGGTATAAGGGAAAAAATTTGAATTGATTTAATTTTTTTTTAAGTCAATTGCATAAGGGAGATAATTCGAATTGACTTAATAAAAAATTGCATTGAAATTTATTAGAACAATATCAACCAATCAAATTGCGAGAAATTACTCTAAATCAGGATAAAATCCATTATTAGGCACAATATGGCCTTCAATTTGATAATTCTTTTTTTTTTTCATTCACAGCATACAGCTACTTTTTCAACATATTGATATACACTTTCAATGGTCCCTACACCTGGATTTATATTCAGAAGTAATATTAGCCTTATTGTGCACATAGTGTAATATTATATCATATTTCTCGCCATGTGATTGTTATCTATTTAAGTACCGGGTATTTCCACTTTATTGATCTCCAAAGAAAGATGAATAAAAGGAAAATTACTCTACATATCATTAAAACGTTCTAAAAGGACCGAGAAAAATATAACAGAAAGGTAATAATTATTACGATAAATAAGAAGTAAAATAGACAATATGACTAAAATAGATACATACGAAGTCATTTACTGAAAACGAAAGTGGATATTTTATATCATATCAAATTACCTTTTCTTTAACATTACGTAATATAACTATAACAAAATATTTTATCATTTCAGTTTCTAATTTGATAGACTCAGGGATTTTTTTTAAGGTAGACCCATCCCTCTTTTTTGGTGCTCCCTTGAGTTAGAAATAAACGTAGATGTGGGGTATCTGTCACAGAGACAGCAACCAAAATACTCAAAAATACTAAAAAGTACATCATTCTATAACTACATCTAAAACGGCTCGTCAAAGTTAATGCTTGCATTTAAGCTGTCTATTAACAATACGGCAATTTCTCTAAAATTATAAATGGTCCTCACCAAAAACAAGTCAGTTTAAGAGATTACCAGTTTTCCTTACTGGAAAGTAAACCTATACATGATTTCCCGACTGAAAACTTTCATATGAAAATTTGAGATCTTGATATTCCTTTTCGATGCTCCAGGCATTCTTTGTCTAACAAAGAACGGGCATCATATAACTTTTTTTTTTATTTCCAAGACCATTTATGTTGTGGAAGACCTTTAATAGATGGAGGCATGGCATACAATATATCTAACGGAGTTGCGATTTCCCTACCAAACATGAGACTGTCAAATGTTCATGTTCAGACTTCCTGTAAGCCATCATCACAAAAGAAATACATTTATCTCAATACAAAACTAATTTGATTTTTTAACATATGTACTAAGCCTTGTTACTAATGTCCTGTTGAATCTTTCTATCATTCATCCAATTGAGAATTATAAGGTGAAGTCCTGGGTACTGGGTTATAAAACTTTACCCAGTACTCGGAGTACAAAACTGAACTCGAAACACCAAATCCAGTATTTTGATTGGTTGATTTCTGAAACTGAGTACGATAATCGTACTCAAAATTTTTATGACCGCAATGCCTTGATTTCTTGATGTCAAGAATTTTTACACATTTCGTGACATTAACCTCAATCAGTTTTAAATTGTGCTAGATTTAGGTTTCTCTTTTGTATTCTATAGCATGGACAGAGAAGACCGTCGTCGCTACTTTATAGTAGGATCTGTCATACTGGAGATAGTCACTCCACTGTTCTGGAAGAAGATTGAAAATGATTATACAAATTCTGGATTAGCATCCCTGCAAGATTTTTTAAATAAACAATCAACAATTCACATCCTCTTCCACCTTCGACACAGAAATACCTGGTGCTGTAAAGACAAGACAAACTGTTCCAATAATGGAGCACTTCCACTCAATTACTGCCAATGGGATCTGTTATATACAGAAATTAATCCTGGTATCAATCCACACGGCTGTCACTGTAAGTTTTCCGCCAATCCTGTTCAACTAGATAATCTCGATATCACATTAGGTAGCCTGATTCTACTTAACTGTTGCAACCTTACACCTGATGAAAAAGTTGCCATCAAAAAGTTACGACAATACAAGAATGACTACCTGAGTCATAATATAAAAGGAGCAATAATCAAAAGAGAGTACAAAACATTGTGGGCAGATCTGACAAACTTTATCTTACAACTTGACTCGAGTAAGCAAGATGACATGACCATAATAGAAGCAAGACCACTGGATGAAGCTTTATGCAGAAGATATTGTTTAAGTCTCCTTGACCTCCACAAAAGACTTGACGAGGTAAGTCACTCATACACACTGTGAAAATATATCATCAAATAAGTATCATCTAAAGGAGTAATTCCAATATTGATTTTCCCTAATTAGTCTTTGTTAAATTGGCACTTTTCAAAAAAATGCACAGACCTCATCTTTGTTTCAAATAAAGAAATACTTGGCATGAGTAAAGTTTTATCCTGTCCAGTACTACAGTGAAAATTTCACATAACATTTCATTGAATATAAGATAAGATAATAACCATCACCGGAAGTAAACCAATGAAATTTTCACCCCTTTTTTTCTGTTAACAAGCTTCAGTAACCATGTCATCTGAAATTTCCAAAATATTTTAAAGAAACAGTAAATAAAAAAAGAATGGTGCTTTTAAACAACCAAGTTATATGTTTATGACTCAGATTTTTTTTTCTTCAATGAAATGCAGGGTTAATTTCCTACAATTGTCAAAATCATTGGAATATTTTTTTTCGACCCTTTTTCGTATGAAACAGGATGTGACGTTCTATGATTTGGTGGTTTTACACCTAAAGGGAGCTACACTATTTCCTACCTGATAGTTATTTAGAGAGAGATGATCATGGAACGAGATGAACCCACCTCAACCATAGCATGGCAAACTTAAGACATGTAGAATTAGTTTTTGCAAAGCCCAGTTTTGAATGTTATATCAGACCAACATGAGGATCGCAAAATTATGTTAGAACAAGCCATGAAACTTCTGCACAAGGTTGGTTCTTTATAATGTTTTCTGTGAAAAAACGCTAAACAATTAAATCAGTATTCGTTGGTGAACAACATATATTTATGTGAAATGACAAAATTCCAGATATTTTGAAGAAAGGATTTTTTGACTTTGTCTGAAAAAAAGAAGGGTTTAACGTTAAGTGTGTTATATTTTCCAAATCACCCAAACGTGTCAAATTTCACTTCCCCCAAATGTGTCCATCTATTTTCTCCGCTCAAAACGTGTCCGAATGTATCCAGCAATGTATACCACCCGAAACGTGTCCACGATAAGACGCCAGAAGCGCTAAAATGTTCCATATGTGACGTTGGTAATGTCTACGGCAAATTCAATAATGAAGACATCAGGTTTTCGATGGAGCAACCTCGTCTACATCAAAAGAAGAAAAACACGCTATCCAATGACATCAACGAAGTGAAAGTTTGACACATTTTCCTGAGATTAAAGCAGTTCACGAATTAAAAGAAAAGAAAAAAAACCAAATAGGGACCTCGTACAATTGCAGAGATGGTTCTGAGAGGGGCGTATAATTGACCATAAAAAATGAATATGCAATAGTATCATTTTACAAGAAATCTAGACATGTATACTGTAAAAATCTAATGTTGTTCACAGTTGCAAAAACTTCATGCATATTCATGGCGAACATATAAATTAAAAATTGAAAAATATTGTTGGCATAAGTATACTAGATCTTAGTACTTGTGAAAAATATTCATCGACTATCTTGAATATCCATGAGGGTATCACACGACCGGTCCCTTCAGAAGTGGTTTCACATAATACTGTTTTAACCATTCTTCCTAGTATGTTTTAATTTTTTTATTTTCAAATGTTTTGGCTTTGGTCGTCACTAACGTAACATTCATAATAGAAATGGGCATCTGATACACCAGTAGTAGTGTTTAACGTTTTACACAGTAATTGTATGTTGTTAGTGTTTTATCTTCCTTTTAGGAGGCATTAACCCCCTTCATTAACAGGAACTTATAGTCCAGGAAATATCAGAAAAACCCTGCACAATGTGGTAAAAGCATGAAACTTGGTATATAAGCTCCTAATACCATTCTAAGCAAAATAAGATATGGAGCCAACCTAAAAAAAAATCAACTTCCGTTTTTTTCCAAGATGGCGGACAAAATTGCAAAAATTCTAAGATAAATATCAAACAAACAGTACACAGGGTGGTAAAATAATGAAACTTTATATAATATCTCTTTAGACCTTTCTTAACAAATAAAGATATGAAACCAATATTAAAAATTATCAACTTCCGGTTTTTTCCAAGATGGCGGCTGAAATAACAAAAAAAATAAAACAAGTCAATAGGACGTTTCAATATTTACAAAAAAAATATATCAGATGAGTGCAATTGAAAGTAATATATATACAGTAGCTGTTATATGCAATAACACGTTCATTCATCTTGTTTGTGTCGTTAAACCCTATACTCTGCAGTCCATTAGGCACAATCTCCACCACACTTGCCTATAGCTGTATTCGGAAGGGCGGATTTGAAACCCTTGCATTGTCCTCGACAACCTTTCTTGCATCCACAGTGAACAAGTACCTGTAGTGAAGAGGTTGCCTCTGTCAATATTGTCCAGAACGAGTTCTTACATGCCGTTGTTTTGCTTCTTCCAATCATACAAGTCTGGTGATGGAAAAACAGGCTGTAAAAGCAAACACTGTATCCAAATCAATCCAGCTTGGTACACAGATATTTGGCATGTTGGTAAAGTGCCTCTCGTTTTGGTGGTACAGACTCGATTGATCTACCTTTATGTGCAAAGAGTACTTTTCTAGCTTCATTTACACTGTTTGATTCACTTATCCGATGGTACAAAAGAACAACATATCGCTCCAGCAATGGTAGAATTAAATCACGGCAAATTGTACTTGGTTGGTCTGTCATCTGTCTAAAAGCAGCTGATACCTCGCGGAAAGTATTCCATGTATCCCATGCTGTTTTCTTTCCTCGTCCTGCAAATGAAGATATAGTGTCACAACCTGTAAAGGCGTGGAATATTGGTAAAAGCATGGATTCAAGAGGACCCAAAGATTGTGCAATATCATGAATAGGAATGTAACGGAAATGTTTCCCAGTTGCAAATGCTATCCATATCTCATCAGCTTCTGTGTCCTTAAATACAGATAAAGCGATCACAATTACGTCTGTATCCACAGTTTTAATGCTGATCTTTTTAAAACCATCCCTGACTGCATCTGCAACGTGAATCATAACTATTGTATCTGCTTCTTCGTGTTTGCACGGTATCCGGTATTGACTTATCTATGTGAGCCAGATTACTGTACAGATAACGTTCTTTTCAGTATTTGCTACTTCTGCCAACTTTTCCGATAGAAACTGAAACAGCTCCCTTTTATTCTCATCAACCCGTAGAAAGTCATGCCAATTCTAAGGGATATTTGTTAGAGCTTGAACTCGTCTTCGAATTCCCTTCCCTCTCTTTTCTCTGGTTGCACTTTTGAGGATATGTGTCCCATACTACATCAACGCGTCCAACATCGCTATTTCGGTTTACTATGTAGGGAACAAACACTTTTACCGCATAAAAGAAATAGCATTGGTCCAACCTGACGCTTCCAGCCTATCGCCAATAGTTTTTTTAAAATGACCATCTCGATATGAAGACCTCCAAACAACATGAAGAGTTTATCTTCGCCGTAACCAGAAGAATCCGCCATCATGAGTCAAAATGGAACCATACGTCAGTGTGATAAGTCAGATCTATCAAGAAAATGTCTTGAGCCGTTAATATCTAAAACAATAGTTAACCCTCAAGTGAATGCAACAATAATTGACGGTGCAGCAGTAGTCAATATGCTCAAGCCTGGTGCAGCATATCATTTCATGACTATGCGGTAAAAGTGTTCTTCACTACATAGTAAACCAAAATAGCGATGTTGGACGCGTTGATGTAGTATGGGACACATATGCAGAAAACAGCCTCAAAAGTGCAACCAGAGAAAAAAGAGCGAAGGGAATTCGAAGGCGAGTTCAAGATCAAACAAATATCCCTAAGAACTGGCATGGCTTTCTACGGGTTGATGAGAATAAAAGTGAGCTGTTTCAGTTTCTATCGAAAAAGGTTGGCAGAAGCAGCAAATACTGAAAAGAAAGTTATCTGAGTGTACAGTTAGAGAGAATGTGGTTTCAAACCAGGCACACATAGAAAAGTCAAAACTAAAACCGTGCAAACACAAAGAAACTGTTACGAGAGTTATGCTTCGCGTTGCAGATACATTTAGGGATGGTTTTAAAAAGATCAGCATTAAAACTGTGGATACTGAGGAAATTGTGATCGCTATATCTGTATTTAAGGACACAGAAGCTGATGAGATATGGATAGCATTTGCAACCGGGAAACATTTCCGTTACATTCCTATTCATGATATTGCACAATCTTTGGATTCTCTTAAATATAGGCTTTTACCAATATTCCACGCCTTTACAGGTTGCGACATTGTATCTTCATTTGCAGGACGAGGAAAGAAACAGCATGGGATACATGGAATATTTTCCCCGAGATATCAGCTGCTTTTAGACAGATGGCAGACCAACCAAGGACAATATGCCGTGATTCAATTCTACCATTGCTGGAGCGATATGTTGTTCTTTTGTACCATCGGATAAGTGAATCAAACAGTGTAAATGAAGCTAGAAAAGTACTCTTTGTACATAAAGGTAGCTCAATCGAGTCTGTACCACCAAAACGAGAGGCACTTTACCAACATGCCAAACGTTCTGTGTACCAAGCTGGATTGATTTGGATACAGTGTTTGCTTTTACAGCCTGTTCTTCCATCCCAAAACTTGTATGGTTAGAAAAAGCAAGACAACGGCATGTAAGAACCCGTTCTGGACAGTATTGGCAGAGGCAACCCCTTCACTACAGGAGCTTGTTCACTCTGGATACAAGAAAGGTTGTCGAGGACAATGCAAGGGTTTCAAATCCGCCCTTCCGAATACAGCTATAGGTAAGTATGGTGGAGATTGTGCCTGATGGACTGCAGCGAGTATAGGGTTTACCGACACAAACAAGATGAATGAACGTATTATTGCATATAACAGCTACTGTATATATATTACTTTCAATTGTACTCATCTGATATAATTTTGTAGTATATATTGCAACTTCCATTTGACTTGTTTTAACATATTGTTATTTCGGCCGCCATCTTGGAAAAAAACGAAAGTTGATAGTTGTTCATATTGGTTTCATACCCGTACGAA